ACGGCCGGCCAAATGCAACCACAGGCAAGAAGGGAGTGATCACTATAGTTTCAACTGGAAGACATTTAAAGAGTTAAGTTAAAATCTATGGAGTCCATTTCAAATCACATCAGTGTTGCAATATTACACTGCACCCAGTTTTATTCAGGTTTTAGACGTACCATCTTCAGTGTCAGGGTAGAAGGATGAAAGCTCAGGCTCCGTCTCCTGGACGACTTTCTTCCTGTTCATGCGCTGCTGCAAACGCTGAAACATGCGCTGCTCTCTAATTCGCTGGATGTCCCATCTGAAAACACAGATGAGTAATGAGGAAAGATCAAGTGGGAAATCATAGTACCTGCCCACAGAGTACAAAAGGGCTAGTAAGTCATATGTTCGCCTTATTGCTGGATTAAATTTTGATTTATGTTTAGCATAAAGACTTTGTAGAAGGCTGGGCACTTCATTGTTCCACAAATTCAATCAATCAGTCATTAACTATAAACTAAATCTGGACCCTCATTTGTGTACATATATATATAGTTATATATATATATATATATATACACATATATATATATATACACTGTATGTAGTAGTGTGATTCAAATAATCAAATACTTAATCATTGTTTTTGAATGAGTTTTCAAACATTTTAAGCCTTTAAACTTCATGCTAAAAGCTGGATATTGAATATACACTACAGTAAATATTAAGAGCGAAGTCAAAACATTTGACCATTTCTAATGCTCTGAGTGATTAAGATGAATTATGCACAACCGCAGAGTGAAATCTATACATTAGAAAGGCCAAAAAACTTGAGCCCGAAAATACTTTGGCCACCTGTCACTGATATACCAGAGTTGACATCTATGTTGGCTGATAACAAGAAATGACAGTAGAGAGAAGTTCCATGTGTTTTGAAAGGGAATTCTTGATTGAATTGAATGTTTCTTTTTTGTTTTGTGTTCAGGCTTCTCTTCATAAAGAAATCTTGATTTTAATAAAACTATAATTGTTTGATCAAGCCTTCCAGTAACAAGGTACCAGCAGATAACACTTGATGAATTTTTGTTTAGTGACAGGCTATTTGAACTGTAAAAAAAAAAATGTACCTAATGTTTGAATTATAACCTTGCCCCCACTAAAACTACTTCATTTAATGTTTATTACTGCACAGTACAGGTTTTTGTAATTTAGATGTTAAAGTTTATAAGTTTAATCAGTCTATTTTTTTTACTATTCACATTATGATTTATTTTCAGATTAAATTTACAGGCAAATTTACTGTGAAACAAATATCAGCCGATACATTATTATCTGATTTTTTTTAACCTAGTGTTCAGTTTAAGTCTGGCTCTTGAGTTTTGAGTAGAGACGTGTTCAAATCTCAAATGAAATAACTTAAATTGGTGAAATTATACCTTTTCCTCCTCTTCTCATCCAACTCGAGCTTCGAGTGGCGTTTCAAAAACACACTGTCATCCAGCGGCTTGATGGGAAGACAAATTCGCGTTATTTTTTCGATGAATGCTGTTTGACCTAATGTGAGATAACTTTTCAAACTCTACAGGTACAATTATTAGCATTAAGGTGTGTCTCACCTCAGCAGAGTTGAAGGAGTCGTCGTCATCCAAGGGCTCTATGTAATTTTCTCTCCAGGATGGGACTAATCAGTTGCAAAAGACAGAGGGAGAAAAAGTTAATTATGGATAGTGTGTTCAGTACATTTGAAGGATAAAGTGATTAAAGATGGGATATAGGTTAGGCTTACAAACAATCAGCATATCATGTACTACATGAGGAGTCCACTCACTGGCCACCTCTTCCTCCTTTTTAGGGGAAGTCTCACGCAGAGGGGACAGAGGAGGTTGGTTCCAACAACAGAGATACATCTCTGTGGTAGACATGAAGGGCAGATCTTCCATCTGGCAGCTCAGCTCAGGCTCCTCTTTGCATGGAAGCAAAATGTCCCTTTCTGCCCCAGACCTCAGAGGAACTGTCTTCTCTGGGGTTTCCTTACTGCGGAGCTCTCTTTGATTGGGGGAGCCGGGCTGAATCTCAGGTTTCTGGGGGCTAAGCTTGGCACTTTTGCCCCGCGATTTTTGGACTTTTCCATCTCCAAAGCAAGATTTCCTGTGTGTGGAGAGAAAATAATTAAGACTTAAGGCGAATACGGGCAAGGACTAAGATATGACAACTGTGACAGACTGTAACTCCCACTTTTCTGATTATATTTCATTACTGTGGTTTGATTTAACAGCACATGGCACAAGCAGAACCAAGTACTGCCTGCCGTTGTTCATTTTACCTTTTTTGACCTTTACCACCTCGACTAAATGGGAGTGGAGTGGCTTGGTTGGGCTGTGGACTGTCCTCTACATCCAGATCCCACATGTCCTCTTTATCTGGGGTCCATGGTTCCAGGGGCTGGAAAAGGCGCTTGTCACGTGGCGGGTCCTTCCTTGTGAGCTGTAGGCGACGCTCCATACGCTCAATACGTGCAAGCAGCTGCAAAAGAGAAAGCCATGGACAAAAAAATATAACTTTAAATGCATACAAAATCAACGTTACATACCAGATGAATATTTTCTAAAATAAAAAAAAAACTTTTACACACTGTTTCCTTATCTGCTTTGAGCTCATCTATCTCCTTGTCCTTGGACTGGAGCTGTTGTTGCTGTTGTTCGATGAGGTCCAGTTGCAGGAGCAAGATCTGTCGGAGGCAGTTGGCCTGTGTGTGGGGATTGGCAGGGGTCTTCCTGATGTTCCTCCACTTGCCCTCAGAGGAGAGTTCAATGGATGCGGTGCCGAGAACTCCAGGGACAACCCCCTTCGCGCTGTCATCAGCACCAGCATCCTTTGGGTTATTGTTCACAGCCATCTGAGGGTTATCCATGTTGTCAACAGAGAGGGGTTTACCTTTCACTGGGGTTCCCTCACCCCCCATTGGTCTGACAGGGGACAATACCCCCACAGTTTTAGTGTCTCCTTGAACTACTTCTGCAACTGTGGCAGCAACGGCAACTTTGCTTGTCATGTAATTCTGGTCTAAGACCTTAGATCTGGTCGGGATCTGGCCCCCCTGCACGTCTTGAACATCTATAACAAAGTCGCAGGACTCCCTCTTCAGGCTTACAGGACTCACGGTGGCGGCCCCAATGTGCGTTTTGTCAAAGTCGATGGTGTCAGTGTTCTGCTTGAATCCCGTCTTTGGAAACAGCGTGGATCTCAGAGTCATGGCGAACACACAGACTTTTCATCCTGCAACGCCTCAGCGATGCAATTCAACCACAGCTATGTGGTTCCCATGTGTAATCAGCAGCTGGTATCCTGCAAAAGATAGAAAAATAAAGACTGGTGTCGTGTTATTGTCGTCGGTTGTTTATCTGGGAGCGTACTGGCTTTGAGCTGAGAATAAAAGATATGCACCGGTTATGTTAATACTTGGAAAACCGAGGGAAACTGTAGCAGCAAGGGAGACCTGATCCATCTTTTTCCTAAAATCGCCCACCGGGTTTGAAATTCAGCTAAGCTATATTAGCACCTCGGTTCAAAGACACAGGCGCTATTTCTGAGACAAACTACTCAGGTTACTTAGAAAAAGACTGAGCTGCGAGTCAGTGTGGGGCTTCACACAAGGACTCGGGAGTGGCTGTGTAGGACACAGGCAGCAGCCATCTCCTCCATTTTGGTTCTAGCGAAGTCATGAAAAACAATAACAGCTAGCTAGCTGGCTAACGCTAGCCGGCTAGTTTCACCAACAAAATGCGCCTCCAGAGCGAAGCGGCTGAAACGACCGCGTCGTAACACACATAATTAATACAGACTAGTTTTCACAAACATGCAATTATACGCTTTGAGCTTACCTCGACTATAATTCAAGTCCACCTGCAAGTGACTTCATGTTCCCTCCTCAAGACTTGTTTTAAAGCGCCGACTACTGCGCATGCGTAATTTGTTGGCTGGCCATTTCTTGTGTTTTGAAGGTTTTGATGAGGAGAGGAGCAGCAGAGGGAGACAGAGGTCTACAAGACAAATTCAACCACAACTTTAAACACCTCATTAATTCTAGGTAGTTGCTCCCTTCGCGCTCAAACAGCCTCAGTCGTTTGTGGCATCGATTCTACACGATCTTTTATACATTTCTTTGAGATTCTGCTCCATGTTGACATGAATGCATCACATCATTCCTTCAATTGTTTTCAGCTGCACATTCATACTGCCAATCTCCTGTTCTACCATGGTCATATAGGCCCTGGCAATAATAACTGGTGAGTATTATGGGGGCCCAAAGTGTGCCATGAAAACATTCCCCACACTATTACATCACCATCAGCCTGGACTGTTGGGTCCATGGATTCATGTTGCTGATGCCAAATTCTGACCCTACCATCTGCTGCCTCAGCAGTAATCCAATATAACAATACATTATTCTGTAATAATGTACTGAAGCGATAATAATGTAGTCAGGAATATTTGCCCAGTCTTTGATAACTGTTTCCCCAACTTGTGGTGGAAAGTTCATTTACTTATGTTCAGTGGTAGAAAAACTACTCAGATCCTTTAGGCCCAAACAGGGGTACCTGTATCCCAGGGGGGGCTTTTAGAGTTTCCAAAGAGCATGTGGAATGAATAGCTAAAATTGACTATGATTTGACTAAAAAAATCTGCATTACAACACTTTGGAAAAATAGAGCAAGAAAGGAGAGAAGTCTAAACAGTGAACGAAAGTAGTGGATAAATGGTTGAAACAGATAGATAAAAGTAATAATTAGTTAGATCCAGCCAACTGAAGTGGTAATGCAAACTTTACCAAACTGACTCAAAAATTGACTGTTTTACTTCTTTCTTTATTTTATTGTTTAGTGCTGCTCAGATGATTTCCAGTGAGTTTTTATACAGATGCAAAAATTTAAAAAACATATTTGAATAAAAAGAGTTTCTATGCTATATTCGCCATAACACCAGGTGGCGCTATAAAATAAACAGTTCAATGTTCACTGTTGACTTCACGATCAGGAAGTGGACTATTCCCTACCAATCAAAATGGGAACACTTGTACGGAATTAGCTTTAAATATCCTGAAATATCCCCGAAAACTTGTATTTTTCGGCCTTTATCGAGTTTACTATGACAGTAGACAGTTACTGTGATATGTAATATTATTGGAGAACTTCGTTTTGAGGGGAGAACCGTGAATGTCGGTGAACTACAGTCACTACAATAACAAACATCCTTGTAGCTAGCTAGTTGTAACGCTAACGCTATAGTTTTATTTACTTTACATTATTCTGCGATAAACACACACGTAGTTTATATTTAACTTTTACATTTTGTGACCGGACAGCAGCCGAAATGCATCGGAGAGGTGTTGGAGCCGGAGCTATTGCCAAAAAGAAGCTAGCAGAGGTAAAGTTGTTAACATAATGTGTTTTTACATTAACTCATTTTATTTTACAGACGTTTTCTTATCTCACCTGGGATTTTTCTTCTTTTTCTATTCAGGCCAAATATAAGGAGAGAGGAACTGTTCTTGCAGAGGACCAGATTGTCCAGGTGAGTCAACAGAAAACACATTTCATAAGACTGTTATAGCCAATAACGTAGAGATTGATTTTTAAAAATGCTTAATTTTTACCAATGAAACGAATGTAAATGTGAAATGGATCAATAGCTCACTTGTTTATTCACTGTTGGTATAATAGAGTCGACGTTCCTTTGTTTAGTTGCTTTAATAAACTTCAATTTTTCTCACAAAACGGTTTTGTGTTTATTTGTACTTATTCATAAAAGCTGAGCTGCATCTAATGGTTATTTTCAGTGCTGATTAATCTGCTAATTACTTTATCAATTATTTGGTCTGAAAAAACATCAGAAAATAGTGAAAAATGCCTGTCACACCATCTGAGATCCCGGGTAAAATCATTAAATGTCCTATTTTGTTCAACTAACAGTCCAAATAACCCAAATATTACATTTTCTATAATGTGAGACCAACAATTCTCACATTGGATGATCTGGAACCATCAAATGTTTGGCATATTTGCTTGAAAAATTTCTTAATGGCCAATTAATCCATTTGTTGTAGCTAAACAAAAGATCAATTAATGGCTGTATAAAACTAGTTTGCCTGTTGGGAAAAAATCATTAATAAATAAAAACCAACAATGTTCTTAACCGGTGTGAAAAACTAGTGCACATCGTTACACAATCAATAAAAAATATTTTTTATACTGTCCCTGCTTTAGGTTATAAATCTGGAGCTGCCATATATTTATAGTGTGTATTAAACATTCCTCTGCTCTGCATTGCTGATGAAAATCATTGACTGAATTGTTTGTTTTTCTGCCAGATGTCCAAGCAGTTGGAGACCTTCAAATCGAACCTGGAGGAGTTTGCCAGCAAGCACAAACAGGAAATCCGAAAGAACTCACAGTTCAGGGTTCAGTTTCAGGAAATGTGTGCCACCATTGGAGTTGACCCACTTGCCTGTGAGAATCATTCTGTATATAATCAGTTAAATATACAAAGACCACCCTGGAAGAAGTTTGTTTAAATCATGTTTTATGGTCATGGGTTCTAAAGTTGAACATAATAATTTGTCTTTTTTTCCCCACAGCTGGAAAAGGTTTTTGGTCAGAGATGCTCGGAGTTGGTGACTTCTATTATGAGCTTGGTGTACAGATCATTGAAGTGTGCCTGGCCCTGAAACACAGAAATGGAGGTCTGTAATTTGTCAGTTAAAACTGAGTGATCAACTGTGCTTAGAGGTGATGAACACCAGCTGTGTTCTGGCTGTGAAATCACTGTACCAGCCTTTTTCTTTTAGGGCTTATCACTTTGGATGAACTCCATCAGAGAGTACTGAAAGGAAGAGGTAAATACGCTCAGGATGTGAGTCAGTAAGTATCACTAATCAAATATCTTATTATATAAGTTTTATGATTCAAGTTTTTTGGCATCTAGGTTTCCTTATTGATCTAAGCATCGTATTTGGATAATTAAACACCTGTGTGTCTGGTCTGAGATGTATATTAATTTAAATGATGAAATATGTGCTTCTCAGAGACGACTTGGTCAGAGCCATAAAGAAACTGAAGGTGATGGGGAATGGTTTTGGGATGATTCCTGTCGGTGGTTCCTACTTGGTGCAGTCGGTACCAGCAGAGCTCAACATGGACCATACTGTAGTTCTACAGCTGGCTGAGGTGAGACATAGTTCCTGAGTTAACCTTTGAAAGGATTTTTGAACCTGGGCCTTATTTCCCATGTTTTTATTTGTAGAAAAAGGGATACGTCACAGTGAGTGAGATCAAGGACAGCCTTAAATGGGAGAAGGAGCGGGCTTGTCATGTCCTGGTAAGTGTACATCAGTTAATTATAGGTCAGTATAGGTCCTTATAGAATAAATGATTAACAGAGTCAGTTGCAGAGAGAATTATTGTAATATACAGCCGGAACGTACTGAAAAATTTGATATGATAAATAATTCAAGACCATATCACCTTTTCCATCATACTTTTACACTTTGGATGATATAATTGATTAAAACAAGTGTTAATTTACTTTCTATGTGGTGTTAAAGAAGTCTTAAAAGGCTGAACCCTGTAGGAAAAACCCTTACACTCGTATATCCAGGGAAAACCCTTACTCCTGTGTATCCAGGAAAAACCCTTACTCTCTTATTTCCAGGATCACTTGCTAAAAGAAGGCCTGGCTTGGTTGGACTCTCAAGCAGCTGGAGAAGCGCAGTACTGGCTGCCTGCTCTCTTCTCTGAGCTCACATCCCGTGATGTCACACCAGAGGAAGCCAATCAGATGACACCGTAAGAAAAAAAAAAAAGAAAAAAAGTGGGACGGACCTGGACCACGAGCTGCTGACAGTTTTAAAGACATGTTGGTAAACAAAATGTGCCTGGTGGGAAGGAGCATGTGATGGAGTTGGCTGGTTCACTGGAGCTGGCAGGGAGGGTGAACTCTCTGTGAGATCATTTTCTGGACACGAGGAGGGAAAACGTCCCTCAGTAACCTCTATGCAACGAGTGCACTTGCATTAATACAGAGTGGGTGGAAGCAGCTTGATTTCCATTACACTGCAAATGAAATTGAGTGTAAGATCTTGTCTTGTAGTCATGGTTAACGGGTCTTTAACGATAATTCTCGATGCACATAACATGTAACTGTTTCATTTTTCATGTATAAACATAAACTTTGAAGAAAAGACAGCATCAGCGTTGTATCAGTTGAACCCATCTTTATTATTTTATCACCAGGACCATTTACATACACTGAACAGTTGATCTGATCATTGACATGAATTCACTTGTTACCTTGCTCACTCTCTTCAACAACATCGACAATTCATCCTGACACATACAGATTAAATAAACACTTGAATCAGTAGATCTGATTACAATAGATAAGACTGTCCTCTTAGAGATAAGTGCAAAGCTAAACTGTAATAGCTGTGGTTAATATATCCTGTGCTGTGCTTGATTTTGAATTATAACTTCATTTACTTAAAGGACCACATCATTTTTTTAAGCATGCTTTTGCCCATTTACAACTAATAATTTTCAAAACTTTTAGGTTTTATGTTTTTCTACCCTCCAGACAGCTGCTTACTAGGGTCATTAATTTCAGTGCCACAGTAAAATGAGCTTTCATAGATGTGAACCTTGTTTAACTTGAAACGGTGAGTTTCATACCTGCTTTTATGTTTGCACTATTTCTGTGTCAAACACTGGTACTACTTATTCATTAATTCTTTAGAGAGCTACCAGCCATAAGCTGAAGTCTGTTAAAGCATTACCAGATTTTTTCTTGCATCTTTTTATTAAATTGTTGTCAACAGTTGCACACGCACACACACCAAATGGATTATTAAGTGATTTTATAGAAAGAAAATTTGTGAACACTTACTTAATATGTGAATTTATTTGACTTTTGCCAGTTTTTATTTAGGTAAAATGTGTCTACTTGGGTTTAAACTACATTTTTAAAGTTTGACCTCCCTTGTTAAATGAAAATGAGGGTTTTGTATTTTTTGGGGATCAGTACAGAAACTCTGGAGGGATCATACCGGCCCTAAATAAATGAGGACCTAATGTTCAGTGTGGTGGATTATATAACTCAGGCAGGTTTCACATCTCTGTCAGAAGGTCAGCTTTTCAAAGTTCACGTTAAAATAACTCCTGAAATTTAGTATTGCACTAGAAATTTGAAAAGGAATTGTCAAAATTAAAGCAGCATTAAAGTGAAGTGTAATTTGCAGTAAATGAGTATAAACATGCAAAAACATCACTGTAGTCCTTTAAATAAGACCACCTAACTTGTAGGACTTTCGCATTCAACCCCATTTTTGGCCCAGTGCAGCTCTCACACCTCGTGGCTGTAGACGTGATCTTCAAAGACGGACTGCTCCATGTAGTCGCAGATCATCGTACAGAACGGACACACTCTGTGACTCTGCTCATGCAGCTCTAGTTCGTTTTGGGTGATGCCAGGGAATCTCTCCTGGCAGTGACAACACACCAGCGACTGCTGTGGACAGAAATAGACACGTCACATTACAACTGGTAACAAAATAGGGAGAGGATTATGTTTTAAGTCCGCTTCAAAAATAAGCAGTAAACATCCCAGTCACTCTCAGCTGCCCCCCTCCCCCTCCCCGTCTTCTTGCCAGTAATGATGGAAATGCTATAGTATTCTTTAATATAATGTTCACTGGTTGTGGTTGATCAGGCTCTCCAAGAGTTTTTTTTTTCCACAGCAGGATCCCAAATAGCCAATCAGAGGCATAAACTGACCCCAGATCTGCCATTTAAACTGCAAGGAGGCTTAAAAACAATCCTTACAGTTTATATTTTATTTGAGTGAATAATTAAGATTGGAAATGAACATCGACCTGAAGATGAAATAATAGGAAATAGGAAACAAAATGTAAATGTAATACATAATCATCATCAGACAGAAAACAGAGAGATGCCCAGCTGTTTCCATACTGCAGTCATTGAGGATCTACTCAACCATCTTCACAGACCTCTGCAGCTCCCTGACATTTGATAAACAGTTATCATTCTTCAGTTTGTGAGTAAAGGTGAACGACTCTCGCTTTTATCTGTTTGATATTAAGGCAGTCACTGAGTGTGTGTAAAGAGCTTCATAACTACACTATGACTGGACAGATTAGAGTGACAGAATGTGGATAGATGACATGCACAACATGTTTTGCTTAGGAATCATATGACTGATAGGACAGGTGAGGTCATTGCCTCCTTACTGTACTAAAACTTCTCTAAAAACCCACTCAGTGTTTTTCTACTAAAACTCCTCTAGAGATAATATTTGACTCACCTCTTCCACTTGTTCTGCAATCCCTGCAAGGAAAGACAGATCTGTTAATACCAGATAATTAAAACAATTATTGTTCATGTTTTATTCTCAAATTAATGATTACTTTAATTATTTACTCATCTGTTTATTTTCTTGATTAATCGATTATTACCAAGTCCAAAACCCAAAGACATCAAGTCAAAAAAAAGCAAATATTCAAATTTGAGAAGCTGGAACCTGAGAATTTTCAGCTTTTATGTTAAAAAGATTACATATGAAATACTTGCAGATTAATTTTCTGTCAATCGACTAATTGTTTCAGCTCTATTTAGAATAGAAAAATGTATAAAATGCTGTTTTCTTTTTGGGAATAACTTGTTCATGTTCATATCTAGTAGGGTAATATCAAATTCACTCAGAGATGTTAAAGTAATAGCTACTTCTGTTTAAACAGTATCTTTGGTGGTTGACGCATTTATATTGTTTGAGAGTATCTACGGTAATATTGATCTAATGTCTAGTCTTGTCTGTCACTGCAGAGGTGTAGGTATTATCTCAGCTAAATGGGAAACGACATGTCCCAGATATCTCTAAATCTCAGGTAAGAAAAGCTCTGATTTGAGTGAACCGGCCCTTTAAACTGTAAGAAAATGGTCTTTTTCTGCTCACTACAGACACACGCTCAGGAGAAATACGACCGAGCTGTGATGAAGATAAACCAGCTGAAAGAGGAGCGCAAGGAGTCGAAAGAGAAGACTGACGTTGAGATTGGCGTGTGTCTGCAGTGTGAAAGTAGTTCCACCTTTGCATGTGAGTGTTTATATCAGTCTGTTTCTCACCTATGGGCTGATACAGGTCGTCGGACTGATCCGGTGTGTCCTGCTGCCACACAGGGCCGAGTGAAGCGTCCTCAGCTGGCGAGGCGACATCAGGCTGCATGTGTGGCGAGTCGGCGGGGGGAGCTGAGTGGAGGTCAGAGTAAACTCTGCGCAGGCCCTCGAGATCATTCACCAGTTTCTGACAGAATGAACAAGCGTGGCAAAATCACGAGGTGATCATTTGAATCTGAACATTTGCTGAGTAAAGAAGGTGTGTGTGTAAATTTACCTCGTTTTCTCTGGTGAGCTCTTCTTTCTCCTGTATCTCAAGCCTCATCATGTGTTCCTGCTTCTCGATGATGCTCTCTTTATCTGCGATCGCTTCCAGTGCCTCTCTGAGCTGCAGCTGATAAATTGTGCAGGAAAAACAAGTTCTTATTTCAACACATAGAAGACAAATCTGACCTTATGGTTATATTTATAGACTATATGGCCAAAAGTAGGTGGACACCTGAACATTGTATTATTGTTGATAGTGCGGACGTTAATCTACTGCTGTAACAGCCTCCATCAGGGATTTGCTCCCATTCAGACACAAGAGCGCTTGTGAGGCCCGACACTGATGCCTGCTGATAAGATCTGGCTCTCAGCCTGCATTCCAGTTCATCCCAAAGGTGTTTTGATGGCAGGCAAGTTTTTCACACACTGACCTGAGAAAACCATTTCTTTATGGACCTGGTTTTGTGCGCAGCTCTAGAGCAGCTTTGCACCTAAAACCCATCTGTTGATTAGTCCAAGACCAAAAGCAAACAACTTGTCCACATACTTTTGGCCGTATAGTATACCCAGACTTTACCTCATATTTGTTACTTTTCCGTTGCTCCTGATCGCTTAATGAGCACACAGTCTCCAGCTGCTTCTTGATTTCCCCCTGCTCGCTCTCCAGATGCTCGGCTCGTCTCTTGGCGTTTCTGGACTCCTCCTTCTCAGACTCCAACTTTCCCTCAGCGTCCTGTAGTTGTCTGGCAAGAGTCTGACACAGCACCTGAAGAGGACATTTCATTTAGCTGTGCTGCCTTGTCTGATTCATTAATTGACAGTTTTTTTTTTTTGTTTAAAGAGAATATCAGCCTCTTTTATTAAAATTTCTTCCCACCTTCAGCTCATCATCTGGTTCTGCGGTGTCCTGTGGTGTCTCCTGCTGCGACAGCCTCCTGTATAAGTCCTGGTTCTCTTGCCTCACTTTGTCCATGTTGTGTGCGACGCCTTGCAGCCTTTGCAGCTCCGCAGAGAGCCTCTCATTCTCCTTCTTGCTGCTCTGAAGATCAACCTGCCAAAGGTAAAACTCACATCTGAATATGATCTGGTCCCAAATGTTGTGTGTCTTTGGAGTTGTTTTGCATCACTTCAGTTAAGTTTTGTATCTTTTTGCGGTTGTTTAGACTCTTTACAGTCATTTTTCATCTCTTTGCAGTAATTGTGTGGCTGTTATGTCTCTCTTTATAGATGTTTTGTGTCTCTTTGTAGTTGTTTTGCTTCTCTTTGAGAGAGTTTTGCATCTCTGTGGTTGTTTTGAGTCTCCTCATGGTCATTTTACATCTCTTTCAGGCATTTTGAGTCTCTCTGTAGCTGTTTTGTGTCTCTTAGTGGTTTTTTTTGGTATCTCTGTGGGATTGTTTCGTATCTATTGCTCAATTTGTGTCTTTTAACGGAGCTCTGTGACTTTTAAACAAGAAATATAAACAGTCACTTCTGAAAGCTACAGACAGGTTAGGGAAGGACTGTCACAAGCTTTGGTAACAATAAGAAAACACAGAATAACTGCAACCTGATCCTTTAAAACTACAGAGCAGATTTACCTCCAGAATCTGGATGCTGTCTTTTGTTTTAACCAGTTCCCGTTCTCCTTCTCTGAGTTTGGAGTTCAGCCTAAAACACACAAAATCAATATGCAACAGGTTCTAAAAGTTTTCCTCCATATTTATGATAAAAACAGAAAAGCGCAGACTCGACTCACTTGGAAATCTCCTCGCTCTGAATGTCAATCTTCTCTTTCAGCTCCTTGTGCTCCTCTTTCAGCTGGTTTATCTTCATCACAGCTCGATCGTATTTCTCCTGAGCGTGTGTCTGGAAATATGTAAAACAAGAATTATTACGGGAGGAGATTGACAGAAGATTTTATCTTTAACAGCAGGTTAAAATGATCTTTACCTCATTTTGACTTGACGCTCTATCGAAACTCAAGCTCTGACTCAGTTTTCTCAGCTCAGTTTCGTTCTGTTGCTGAATCTCCAGCTGCTTTGTCGCTTGGACCAACATCTCCTCCTGGTAGTGACATTATTTTCAGTTAGGTTTCACATTAATAATGAAGTACTGAGTTTAGATTTCACATGTGGACTGAAAACAAACCTTTAAATTGTCCATTTCCTGACGTTGCTGCTGTAAGGTGCTTTTTAAGTTTCCATTTTCTTCCTTGATTTGATCCAGGTCTCTGACCACCTGACTCCTTTCTCTCTCTTTCTGCTCATTCTGCCCCTGAACAAATCAATGAAACAGCATCAAATATCAAAGTTCAATTCCTATTTACCAATTTTCTCTATTGCGCAATGAGCAAATGTGTTCACTATCGTACAGACACCGGTGTAAATTAGATAAGCAGACCTTCAGGATGGCAGCTTGCTCCTGTTCCTTCTGTAGAGCACTCTTTAAGCTTTCATTTTCCTCCCTCATCTGATCCAACTCTTTCTGCAGTTCAGCCTTCTGACGGTTGCTCTGTTCCACCTGTTCCAGGGTTCAACAAAACACATAAGTCAATACAAACTTTATTTACTTTTGAGAGACAGAGGTCTGTTTCCATCAGTGGTGAGAAGCCGCACACAGACCTTTTACCAAAGTAAAAGTAGCAATACTCAAGGGTAGAAATATGTGGTAAAATCCTGCTTTCAAAGTAAAAGTACAAAAGTATTGTCATCAAATTTAGTTAAAGTACTCATCATGCAGAATGGCCCATTTCACAATAATATGTATATTACATTAGTGGATTGTATATTATATATTGGATATAATAATGGATTATTGGAATGACATAATCATTAGACTAATGCATCACTTTAATGTTGCAGCTGGTAAAGGCAGGCTTCATTCTATTTACTTCATTTATTTATATGGGTATGTTGTAAATTCCCTTTTATATATCATAATAACACATCATAATGTATTTGTTGATTTATATTTTGTATTATTAATCTGAATCTGCAAAGTCACTTGTTACTGAAGTTATCATAGTATTGTCGAGTAAAAAGTTAAATTTCTGCCTGTGAATTGTAATAGAAGTGTAAAGTAGCAGAAAAATGGAAATGGCTCTTAAAATCAAGCAATCATCTGAATTCTAAAAACTGCTATTGCTTCTTTACTTTGGTATTCACACAGTCATTTCGTGTCCAGTTGTTTACACATCAGATACAAGACACAGTCACTGGCTTTTGCGCCAATTCTCTCATTGTATTGCGTCTGGTACCTGTGTTGTAATAATGAGGAAGTCGTCCTCCTGACTGCTGTCCATGCTTTGCTCTTCTGGGGTTTTGAAACAGAAGGGAGTGCTCGCTCCTCGCACCTGACCAGAGCTGTCGACGTAGCAGAACTGGTAGAACTCGATCTCGTCCTTCGGCAGGTAGTACTCTGACAGGAAAAAGACCAGAACAGACTGCTAGAGATAAAACCTACAGGGTTACATCTAAAGGTAATATTCATTGTTGTTTATTCTGGTGATTTGTTTTTGGCAAATAAATGATTAAGTTTTTTATCAAGAGAAAGTCTGATCTGATTTTAATAAAATACCTATTAAGAGTCTACTCAGGTTGTGGAAGTGTATCAATAGACCTTTCTCACAGCAAATATCAATACGTTCTTGCATATATTTTGTTTTAATGGGCTTGAGAAATGTATCAGTCCCAGCTCAAGTTCTGTCCAAATTCAAAGACTTTTAAAATTCATTTTACAACACCACAGAAAGGATGACAGGGTGTACTGAAATGTAATGATCAGAGTCAGCTTCTATCAGCAAGAACGCTGTTTCTCAATTTTGCTAATTGAATGTCGCGTCTGTGTCCTCACATCCTTGCAAGTTTGGACTCCCAAGTCCAAGTTCAGACTCTTAAACTTGTTGCAGAAAAAAACAGGTTAACTATGGCTCTATCCTACTTATATGTCACCTTTAATGTTATTATTTACATCTGTGCTCTTACTTCTGTGACTTAAAAAAAAAAAATGCACAGATGTACTGGACACGAATTGTAAAGCTCTAAAAAAAATATTGTTTATATTATTGGTCTAAAAGATCTTCTTCATCTGCCAAAAATAGATCACCCGAACCAAAAACAAAATCTGACTGTAGTTTGCATAATAGATTTGACTTTGTCAGCAGATCAGATTTGTGCTTAAACTGTTTACACATAAGAAGACCAGAGTGTTCAGTGTGTTTTGACGGTACATATTGAGTGTACATTACAAACATGACTGAACATTTTCAACCTGCAGTGAAACCAAAACTATTCCTTACCCTTAAAAACAGCTTGCATAGTCACTGACTGTTGTCCTGCCACATCCTGACAAGGCTCCGCCCACACAAAGGTGTGATAGTCCTTTGTTGTGCTCCATCCCACCTGCAAAGTAAAAGTTAGAAACTCATCTGTGGTAAGATTCTTAAAACCACTACACAAAAACTACAATAGATTTAACATGGTTTCCTCACCTTGAAGATGCCCACCCAGTCCCTGCTGTTGGGCTGGTAGACTGCAGTGTGGCTGTAGCGGCAGGTGACGGGGGTTGAAGGTGGATATGAGTGAGGGATGTCGGTGAAGACCACCTGGGAGTAGGTACGTGCTGCTGAGGAGTCAGCTGCTGCTGCCTCTGAAGGGCTCTCCATGCTGGACTCCAGGCTGCCAGAAAACATATAAAGACTGATGATGAAACAACATTTCTCGAGTGACTGAAGACAGCAGCTGTCACACTCTGGCTTGTGCTATGACAGAAAACAGCACTGGTGTTTTTATAGGCCTCCTTCTTCCTGTGGTTGTTCATGTGTTTTGTTTAGCTTTGCTTTTGCGCACTTAAATTTTTTCTCTCGCCTGTTTCCAAACTGATTACGCATAAATAATAAACTTAAAAACACTTCCCCACAGCTGAAAAGACTCACTGTCACTCTTAAAACTCTTCACTTCCCCTGGGAATGACATTTAATCTATTATAATAACTTTTAAAGGCAGTAGTCGAAAGAATAACGTCTAAATACAGAAACCGAAAGTAATCTCTTCTAAAAAAAAAAAGATCGCAAAAAGAGATAAACATATTGTTTACAACTGATACACAACAACATTTTCAGCACACCGCTTTGTAACAAATATAACATGATGATAAAATACTGAAGTAATAATATTAAACTTACATATTCGCTGTCACTTATCTCAGCACCGAATTCGACCGTCAGCTGCGCCCGACTGAACCTGCCGATGTGCTGCCTTCAAGTGCTCCTCGTTTATTTGTACTCTCAGGCTCTCGTAAATACGTCACGATTCGCAGTAAGCATAATGTTAAGCAAACAGCATAAATTGATGCAACTTTTCTGGATCCAAACCTATCTTTTCTGGTTTCTTAAATTAATTTAAATATTACAGTATAAAACAAAAAACGTATGATACGTTTTTATGAAAAAAAAGTTTTAAAATTAACTTTAAAAAAATGTATATAAATCAAAAACACCCCCCTTTAGTTTCCTTTATTTTCTACATTGTTGTATAAAATGTAATGGTTAAAATATAAGCTAAATTAATGACAAGAAAAAGAGCAAAAATTTACATTTTGGGGGCATTAAGTTAGATATAACAACTGTTGTCTCACAATTGATGTGTCACCGGCCTTATTTTCGATTGTCTTTGAAGTTCTCGGTGTGTACTGCATTATGGGAAATATAGTCCAATTTAAAAGCATACATTTCTTGCTCTTAAAATTAAAGACCACAAGAGGGAGCCAAACGCTTTTCCGTCGTTGAACTGATCCTGATGTGTAAATACAGTAAAACCTATTTTGTAACAGCGTACATGTGTAGTATAATAATCTTTATTGGTCATTTTAAAAACCAGTGTGGTGTTTGTTGTGGTTTTGCTTTTTGAAAGTTATAACTGAAAATAAAAGTCGTAGTTATATCTTGAAAATTGATAATTATATTGTATATCTTATATGATCTCAAGGTATGACATAGTATTACACCCATGGCTGGATTAAGTTCCCACGAGTGGGGTTGTTAACCCTCAACTGAACCCTAGTTTGAATAAATAAAACTATTTTCTGACTAAACAATCAATTATTAAAGATAATATCACACTAAATACTATGTATTATTTAAGATTTTTTCTTACAGTAAGACTTTTCTTCATTTTCTGTAGGAATTACCCGGTTATAATGAAATGTATTACCTGGAAACCACCTCACCTGCAAGCTGCACCATTGAATCATCCTGCTGGTGTATCTTTTCTCATCGGTGAGCCAACATCCAATCAGAGATGCGAACGCTCACGCCCCCGTCTTTTGATTGGCTGAAAGATAAACAGCTTTTGGAACGTGTGTCTGTGTGTGTGACTCGAATTCATTCATGTTTACATTTGTAGGATACAGCTCCACTTTGCCTCAAGCCGAGACTTCAGCACGACCTGCCAACAACAGCAACGACGACAGCAACGTAAGAAAAGGCTGGTCGGTTAGTGTGACTCACCGGGAGCAAGAGGACACACTTTTTGCTGACGGTAATGTCCGGTTCACGACGTTTTCAGCCGTTTACGAGTTGATTGTCTCAAGCTATCGCTAAGGAAAAGTCGGCATCATGTTACCATAGCAACAACACGGCACATATCCATACATATAAGTACAGCCGTTAGTTTTAGCTTCATATTTGCCTAATTTTTTAAGATACCGACCAACTGAAACGTCCAGACTGTGTCAAGAAATAAATTAAATGCGTTTCCTTTGATGACTTCACATGAATTCTGTACAAATTTAGGTTTCTGTTGTGTTTTTTTTCTTCTGTTTGTGAGTAAGCTAGCTAACACGCCGTGGTGTTACGACATATTTTGTGATTTTGTGACGTCAAGGTGTCATATAGTAATTTTTTCGTTTAAACTAACAGCTATCAGAAACGTTAACATCCACCAAAACAAATTTACAGTAGCCGGAAGTAACTTACCCAAGTACTGTACCTGATACTTGAGGCAAAGACTTGTTATTTGGCCCTATTGACCCCCGCTTTCATTATTTTCCCATGCACTCAGAAACCAACCAGTGCTCTAGAGCTGAAATACTAAGGTAGTTAATTTATTAGTCTATTGACAGCAAGAAGTCTGATAAGTGATTAAACATTAAAGTTTTTTTTAAGGAAAATGCCAAAATTCAATTTTGGTACAATACAATTTTAAAACAAATGAGCTCAATGTAAAATAAAATTATGAAGGTCTTAAAACTAGAAGACCAGGGCTACAAGATGGAGGATAGAGGACCCATTATAATTGCTGTTTTACTTCTAACAAATATTATGGCCAGTAGTGTATCGGTTTTCTGTACACCACTCTACTTTGTAAATATTTGGTCAATCAATCAGTCATATTGGTCAGTGTGATATCTAGGTTTAGCTTGTAGCTATAGTACCAGGTCACACTTAGTACCAACTAACTTTCCTCTGTTGGTCCCAAGTGTATTTTGTTTTTTTGTCAAGGTTTGTATTTGTAGATCACAGCAAAATATGTCATTGTAATGTATTCATTTAGTATTTATCTAGTGTCTTGTACAGTCAAGACATTAAAATCATACAGCCACAGCTCTAAAAACAACAGGATTAAATGGTGTTATTGTGTTTATTGTTCTGGTGTCTTGACAAGGTTTTAGCTATGGTCTATTTTCGGTTATGTGATGAATTTTGTTAATGTAGCCTTTTTTTTTGGTGTGTTTGTTACTAGTGGTTCAACAAATCAGAAAATAGTACACTAAGCTTGATTTTAAAAAAACGACAATTGCTCATCTTGGAGAGCAGGAATTGAAAACATTTCCAAATCACCAAGAATCACAATTTGTAAATACATTGCACAACACTGTACTTACAAGTCCTCCAAAGTAAACAGCATCATTGCCTTCCTCATTTAATAACCAGAGATATTCTTTTTTTTTCTACGCAAACAATTTCTCTTACCCTTATTTAATATCACTCCATAAAAAGGCAGATAAGTAAGTATGGAAGCGTGTAAGATGTCAACTAATGGTTAATTAATGTTGATTGACTGATTAATCAAGCAACCAGTGTTGGCCATTGTGTGTCATTCTTCCACCTCATTATCATCCAGCCTTGTTTTATCTGATTGATACCTGGTTGGCTGCCATGGCATCTTGGAAACTTAATATACAGTGTCTTGTTTGTCTGTTTTCAGTTCCTCTTTGCCAACTGTTTGATCAGCATTTTCCTTTCTGCCTGTGCTGTATATTTAATGTCTTCAATGGAAGGCAAAGCTTCAATCGAAGGTGCTCCATTTCACCTTGGCTAAGAAGATAGATGTCCAGACTGCTCTCTTACACCACACACTGCCGCAACACTTTTCAGCACAGATTTAAATTTAACAACTCGAGGTGTTGAAAAGCACTTCTCCTATTTCAGTGAACAAATATCAGGGATTATCCCTCTCTACTTGCTCCCTGCTGAGGTCACCTGATCATTTTCTCTCCATCATGTCAAGGGGGATCGGGTGTTTGTCCCCATAGTTTCTAATTGGTCACCAGATCCACCGCCGGGCCTGTTGCTTGACTGTGTAAGTCAATCTGAACTGAGCCATCCTTGTGATGATGCAAATCTACTGTGTCTCCAGAGGCAGACCGTGCATGAAGCTGAGATGTGGTTCTGTGGTTTGTCTACCGAGGAGGGTGACAGCGTCTTTAAGGGCTCTTAGAACGAAGATTCCTGGACCAACGAGGTGTGCAGGCAGACAGAAGGGGGCAGCAACTTCCATTGCCTTTATCCTCACAAATGTAGGCTTAACAATGCAGGTGAGTAACAGTCATTTCTCAAATAATGTTAGTGAGACTTGACAGTACAATTCAACAGTCCTGCAACAAATCCTACCTTCATGAAGGTTATAATGTTGAGTTTTCGTTGTTTAAGAAAGGTGTTGATTCAACTTCATGGTCCTTTTGGAGGCTGTAGTTTGTGCTGCATTATACCGAGACGTGTTTCTAATATTTTGTCCATCCATTTATATCAGTAAGGGCTGACTTAATGTTAGATTAAATTCAACAGTACCAAAAACTACAGCCTCCCCAATGACCACAAAGTTGAATCTACACTTCTTCAGGGCAGTTTCAACAAAAACTGAACTTTATAACCTGCATAAAAGGAGGATAAGACTGTATTAGTTTTAGCTAAACTATGTACCTGCCTGATTAGTGCCAAAAGTGTTGGTTAAGTTATCAATTAGTCAATGGAAAATGATCTGATATTGATTTTGATAATCCTTTTAGGTAATTTATCTTGTAAAAACAGTAAACATTTGTGTCCTACTGCTTCTCAAAAGTGCAATTATTTTCTGCCTCTTTGTCTCATCATTGCAAATTAAACAGTGAAAATCAGCAGTTTTTAATACATGATTTGGGCTTCGGTAACTTTATGTGCATTTATCATGATTATTGCCTTTTTGTTTAGTGCTGCAGTTTTTTCAAGTAATTTAAATAGTATTAAATGTCAGCATGGCGTGTCACCTGAACGTTGAATGCTATGTAGTGACATTTAGCAATTACCAAACTCGTTCTCATTGAGTCCAGTCATTGTTCGATGAGGACAGGTAAGACAAAGGTGTTATTCGTGTACCTGTTGTTGTTGCACGCTGAGGGACAACCTTGGAGAAATCCTTTGCGGGGCCGTAACTGTATCTGGGCTGAGGTCAGTGGGGCGTCTCGGCCCAATGTGAAGCTCACAGTTCAGGGCCAGGATTATCCAGATCACTGGATCAGAATACTGTTACCTAGCACCGTAACCTCCCACAGTGTACCTGGGATGTACCTCCTTAATGCCACCCACCCCTCCACCCCCCCAGTATTCTTCCACGGTCATTAGCAGGAATTAACTTGACCTCACCTTCACCCTACAAGACACCAGATAGGAGGCAGAGGCAAACAGCTGAGATGCTGCTGTGACGACTGGTAGCTGCTGTGCAGACGGACGTTTCCAGATAAAAACACAACGTTTTCAGTCTGTGATGTGTTCACACTGGAAGTGAGAAAATGAAATATACACATACCATACAGCATGCACACTAAATTCAATCGATTCAACAATCAGTCGAAAAGATATTTCATGTCGTATCAGTAATTGTTTACCTTGCTGACTCTACTTTTGCTGCTTCTTTTTCTATCAACATTATGAAAAGCAGTAGAATGTAAGTAAAGTGTTATACTGTATGTGCTTATTTCTGTTGTACCTTGGCTCTGCTTGGTGTTAGGATTAATTCCCCTCGCTATTGTTGTCGTATTAACCACTATTTGTATCCGTCCTGCCACAATAATTCTTGAATGCCAGTGTGTGACAGCGTGCTGACAGCCAGAGCACTCACCTGATGAGAGAAATGGAAACGGAAACATGATTCCATGCGCGCACTTACAGCATGTACTTTGTTCTGTTTGATTGAATTTCATTGAGAGGCTGTACAGCACATCCCATTAAAGAAGAACTATGTAAACGAGTAAATGAGTGTTGGAAAATGGAATGGAATAATTTGTTTTTTTGTCTACACTGTCATCTTAGTTTTTTTGCATTTGCTGATAGTAAAATGAGCACATTTGTCTTTGTTTTTGGCACATCCAGGATGGGTCTACCTGTGGACAGCCCAGACAGAAACGATGATGAACATAAATATGAGGGAGAGGGAGAAGAGGGCGAAAGCCAAACTGAGGCCTGCACCCTCACCCGCACCCCGCCGCCCATCACCAAGAAGAGGAGAAAATGCAAGAAGAGGTACTTTACTGCTGGAGCTCCTCCATTTGTACTTCTGCAGTTATTTCCCATTGCAGGTATATTAACCGCTGAGCACCCTGACAGTTATGATTTTATAACTTGTCCTGGAGGCTCTTAAGTTTTTGTTTTCTCATTTGTCCTCATCATATATGGGAAAAGGAAGATGAGTGTAATGATGCATTTGTAGGACCTTGCAGCAAAGCAGATGTCTGTCCCTCTCTCTGTCTCTCTTCTCTTCCAGATGACTCTGGATCAACCTCACCAACTGCAAATATGAAAGTGGTAAGTTTGGGACAAAGATGACTAAATTATAAATGTCTATTATTTTGTTATTTAGTGCAGATATCTAAGGTAATTTCTTTCTATTCTGCAGCATCTTTTCAGTACTTTTGTGTACTTTGGTCTGGAGCTGTTTTCCATTGTTTGGTCTGTGCCATGTTGTTCTGGTTAAAAGAGATCTTATTGCCACACAAGTTATTTTAATGTTCTTCTAACTTCGTGGCAACAATTTGGGTATGGCCCTTTCCTGTTTCAGCATGACCCCATGCAAAACAAGCAAGCACGCAAACTTTATTTAAGTGGCACCAAATTAAAAGCCAGATGGAAAAACCCTTTAACCTTTTACCTGTTTTAAAAATACCAAGGGAGTGGTAGAGATTCCACAGTTTAGGGTCATAAAAGCAGGAAGCAGCCTCACCAGATTTTGTGTTAAAAAAAAATTAGGAACTTTTAAAAAAAACATTTGATGTTTAATTTGCCTCAGTGCGACGAGCTGCTCGAAGATACGGCCTCAGAGAAGCGGTGGAGGGTGAAGACTGGACACTGTTTTGGACCGACTGCTCTGTGTCTCTAGACCGTGTTAAGGACATGAAGCGTTACCAGGTGTGTGACTGAATTCGCTCACACCAGCAGCCACATTACTGCCATTACCATATATGGCTAATTAAGCTGAATTCAACACTGTAAAATAATTGTCTGGTAATTCAATCTGTAGATCTGGAGATGGATCACGGAAGACTAGTCGTTCTGCTCTTTCAATTTGTAACATCTTTACATGTAATTTTGATTATCCTCAATATGTTTACCCATGAAAGTATTTTGGCTTGTAAAACATTTGCGATCTAATTGGGTGATTAAGTGTAGTTACTATTGAGCAAGTTAATACCAATGTCCTCCAGTCTTCTCTTCAAGTATGAATAAGGAGGATCAGTTTATTTTGTAATACCCTACTTAGCCCTGCACATAAAAATATGTAGTACCGTCCTCATATATTCACAGAATATTTCCCATGTAAACACAATTGTCTGTGTTTTATTTGTCTTTGCAGAAAATAAACCATTTCCCGGGGATGAGTGAGATCTGCCGCAAAGACCTACTGGCAAGAAACATGAACCGCATGCTCAAGCTTTTCCCCAAAGACTACAACATCTTCCCCAGAACGTGGTGCCTTCCTGCAGAGTCAGTTTGCACTTTTTGTTGTGAGCTTGCTCTTTTATTTTGTTCTTCTCAATGTGTCTCAGTATACTAACTCCTTATCTGATTGATTGTACTTTGCAGTTACAGTGACTTCCAAGCTTACACCAGGGCCAAAAAAAACAAGACATATATCTGTAAGCCAGACACTGGTTGCCAAGGCAAAGGGATCTTCATCACCAAATCAAGTAAAGACATTCCCCCTGGAGAACACATGATCTGCCAGGTTTACGTCTCCAGGGTGAGGGTCTATTAAACAACACATACAACACCTACACAAAAACACACACAGTTGTAATGTTTTTAACAAATGCTTTTTATTCCCCAGCCTCTCATTATTGACGGGTACAAGTTTGACTTGCGTATTTACGTGCTGGTGACGTCATGTGACCCATTCAGCATATTCATGTTCAAGGAGGGGCTGGCCCGCTTCTGCACCACACAGTACAACGAACCAACGCACAGCAATGTGGTGAGAGATGTTAAAGGAAAAAGTCTGGTGATATTCTAGATTTTACCTATGGTCAGAAAATCTCATGTACAGACTCAAACCAACAATATGTTATATCAAACATGTTATATTAAACTTGACAACTCGTCCCTCAGAGTGTCCAATGCTCAGAACCAATTGACTGGCCTTTGGACTTATCTCAGTCAGCGGTTACCTCATAACTTATTCATAATTTACAATTTATTGATTTATACTTAAAGGTAAAATTTTAAACTCATATCCTTTCATATTTCTTTACAATATATATACATATATTATAGTATAAGGACATAGTTTTATATTTTCTGTATATATTTATCTTTATTTTCATCATATGTTCTACTTCATATTCTCCATTCCTTGCTGAAGGAGCAACTGTAACTCAACCTAATTTTCCCCCGGGGATCAATAAAGTATTCTGATTCTGATTCTGATATTGAGCCTGACATATTATATCTATTCTTTATTCTTCTGCCATTGTTAATCCTCTGTTGATAATAGTCCCCAATAGATATACCATTTCCTCCTGTGTCAAGCTGTTTTAGGAAATTACAGATTTTTTTGTGTGACCCATTTTTAAAGTTTTATGTCTTCCATTTCCAGTTTTGACATCTTTCTTAAATGATAACTCACTTATTGAAATTGTCTTTTGATCAACTTATCAGTTCAGCTTATTAAGTCGTTGCAGCTCTAATAAGAAACTGTCAGTAAGTTTTTGACTGCAATTCAAAATGTGTATTCCTTTCTTTACTGTGATGTACCCGTCCTGCCTTGTTTCTCTGATGTTAGGAAGATGTGTGCATGCATCTCACCAACTACTCCATCAACAAGCACAGTGAGAATTTTCTCCGTGACGAGGACACGGGCAGCAAACGGTAAAAATATCCTGTAGCTGATGTCTGTTGTGTAATATTATTAATACTCTTAAAATATCACATTTGTCTTCGTGTAACTCAGCATGTTTCGTGTTGTTTTCTTGCGTAGAAAGCTGTCCACCCTGAATAAACACCTGGAGTCCATCAGCTGCAACACAGAGAAGCTGTGGAATGACATTGAGGACGTGATCATAAAGACTCTGATCTCCGCTCACCCCATCCTCAAACATAATTACCACACGTGCTTCCCCAACCACACCACCGGCAGCGCCTGCTTCGAGATCCTGGGCTTCGACGTGCTGCTGGATCACCGCCTCAGACCCTGGGTGCTGGAGGTGAAAGACCATGACACCTTAGTTTAATATACTGTATATCAGCCATAAATATGCAGACCAGTTATTTTTGTTTTAAAGTTCTTAACAGGCTCCTATATTAAATACAGTTCAGCTAAGCTTTTAATGCCTTAATATTTCCCCGTTGTAAAACACCTTATTTCACACAGTCTGACAGTATCATACATATCCTCAATCAGCTTGTTCCAGCTCTTTATTGAAGCTTTATGATATTTACACTCAGTAAAATATTCAAACGCAGACCTCCATGTTTTTATGGCTATCACTCTATCAAATGGAAATATTGCAGATGTTTTGTGCAACATTTTATACATATTTTTCCCAACTTTAGACGTGTTTCATATCTTTGGATCTCCACTAGAATTCAAAGCAAATATTTGTGGGTTGAACAGTGTTAGGCCGCACAGCAGTAGTTTGTAGTGAGGTGTAAAGAGTAAAAATGTTACGCAGAAAATTGATTATCATATTAGATGTATAATCAGACATGTCTAATGTTTTTACATGTGTGTCAAGGTTAACCACTCCCCGAGTTTTACCACCGACTCACAGCTGGACCGGGAGGTGAAGAATGCGTTGCTGTACGACACCCTGGTTCTCATCAATTTAGGTGCCTGCGACCGCCGCAAGATCACCAAAGAGGAGAGACGCAGGGTGAAGGACAGGCTGCAGCAAAACCGCTCCAGAGAGGCCAGGTATGGTCCTGTCAGACGCAAATGGCGTGTGAATGTTTTTCCAAGGTCATACATCCATTGTGTAGGCTTCCTGTAGACATACCGTACTGTATGCAGGTGACTGTTACTGCGTGTGTGTGTGTGTGTGTGTGTGTGTGTGTGTGTGTGTGTGTGTGTTTTACCACCAGGTCGGAGGAGCTGCGTCAGTGCCAGGCGGCCACGGTGGAGCAGATGGAGAGATATGAAGCCAAACACCTGGGAGGCTTCAAGAGGATCTACCCCAGAGAGGGAGGAGAGAAATACGACAAGTACTTCAAACACAGCAGCTCGCTCTTCCAGGAGACGGCAGCGTCCAAGGCCAGAGAGGAGTGTGCCAGGTACCTGCGGCGCGCGGTCAACATATTCAGTACAGTTCAGTAAAGAGATTAAGCTGTTAGTGATGGACAGGAATCTTTTATTTTGGACTACATGGGGTTGTGTATCTGCCAGATCTCATCACATCTGACAGATCAGTTAGTTGACTGACAGAATTAACAATTCAAATATATCTATCCAATCAGGAACCTCAGAAAAACAAATGTTAATCTGATCCACTTCACACAAAAACATACATTTGCATAACCCAACTAATTTCTCCAAAGATAGTATCCCTCACACCTCCTTATACCAATGTTTCCACTGAGGGAACATCTTTACAAATACTAGAGTTAAGAGTCTTTCTTCCTATATATAAATAATATTACAATTAGCTTTGCATTATTAAAGGGGTGATAAATCCTTTAATCACTTTCACTTTTCTTTAAAATGTTTGTATCTTTTTTTCCAGAATATATGTGCACATATAACAATTTTTGATTAACAATCAATACACTGATTAATTGATTAAATTAATTATCAAGCAAAAATGCTTAGCATTTTGCTCGCAAATGTGAGAATCTGCTGCTCTGTCTTCTATCATTATGAATTCAATGTGTTTTCTCTGCCCATTACTATTGGTTGTTAATAATGCACGAGATCTACAGTATTCACTATAATAAGTGTTATAGAAAAATAGATAGTTATAAAACATGTCTGGAGGGATCTTCATGTGCAGCAGAAAGGACAAAGGGCTCAGCTCTGTTCCGGACCAGAATTCAAACGAGGCTGAAAGAATATAACATAAAGGCAGAATTAGAGATGCAGACTGTAGGTATGGCTGATTTAAAATAAACCCGGGTGGTGGTGAGCTCATGCTCCTTGGAATAATATTTATTTTCAACAAACAAACTTTTACATATTTGAATGTTCTTTGGTGCAGGCTTGTTCTTCTTTTCTTTATTGTTATTTAAAAAATACATTTTGATAACAATAGTTTTAGTTTTAACTTTAGTATCACAGTAGTGAAAGGAGAAAAAAAATTAGTACAGAAACAAAGATATTTGTACAAGATATTTGTAATTGTGGAAATTAACTAAATGCATTTACTCAAGTCTTGTACTTAAGTACAATTAAGTTTACTTGGTGATTTGGGATTTTGCAGTTTAAACCGCTCAACAATACATAGAATACAACAGTAAAAGGCTACTTGCACATTAATTCATCAGTAATAATAATCCTATAGTATAATATATATGCATGTATAATGCATATGTGGGTGAAAACATGTCAAAGAAGACAATATAAAGATTAAAAAAAGAGAAATGGATTTAATTAGCACTAAATGATCTAAAATTATTTCACTTTATATCAGAGAGTTGCTGACGTTTCTGTGTATTTGTGTTTTCAGGCAACAACTGCAGGAGCTGCGTCTGAAGCAGGAGCAGAGGGAGAGAGACCAGATGGGGGGTCGGAGGAGAGACTTGCAGGGGGAGACAGCAGGGGAGAGAGTCAAACCACAACGAGCATTAACACAACCCCCCACTTCTCGCTGTGACTGTGACCCAGAGGCGGTGAGGCAGCTTCGTTAAAGATGCAGTATCCACATGAAACCACAAGAGGGAGACGTACAGCCTCTGGCCTATGATGAATGGTTCATATTCTGCCTGACCCCTTACAGTCAGAGTAAATGTATATTTACCCAATTTAGATTAGCTAGAATAATATTCCTGCAGATAACTTTTATTGGATGTCTCTCATTTCAAATTCAAATATGTTTTATTGTCAAGACCGGAAGAGCGAACAGTGTTATCAAGGTTATCCAGTGACAGTAATTGCTAATATATTGTAAATACATACTAGTGGGTACATATACAGTAAGGCAATAAAAACAAATTGAATCAAATGCCTCTATGTGTCTCTGCAGCCCCCTCTGTCCAGTCTGTCAGTGGATCCTGAAGCTGCAGGAGTCCAAAAAGAGAAGCAGGAGAAGGAGAGGGAGGAGGAGGAGGAGGAGGCAGATATAGAAGAGCAGGAGCGGGTGGAGGCTCTGCTCCAGAGGAAGAAACTGCTAAAGGACCTGGGGGTGGTGGACCTGATCCACCAGCTGCTGCACGGGTGGACAGAGGGAGGGGGAGTCCTGCAGGACGCCTGCACCCACCAGCAGAGTAAACAGACTCAGCAGAGACAACAGCAGACAAAGGTAAGACCCGACTACAGGTGATGTTTTCACCTTTGATGTGTCAGCCAACATGAAGACATTGACAGCCTGTGTGGTTTTCATGCAGCATTAAGTATGGTCTCAGTTTTCACTTGTCTGTTTTTCATTAAATGATCATTTTATTTACTTTACCCTCCAGTCACTTTATTTTTCATTTCAGTTGGAGTCTTTGGCGCAGTTTTCCCACAGGACGAAGCAGCAGCAGCAGCAGCAGCAGCAGCAGCCCTGCACTCAGATCTCACGGCAGGTACATGACCACAGACACCAATCTAATCAAAACAATCCCATATTCTGTCACATCTGGTTTATGTAAAGAAATAAGGAAATAAGGAATGTAAGATGCCTTACCCATTTAAAAGGTAAAACAGAAATAATCAATTCCGATTCAGTTGCTTCAAAAACATCCTGTAAGTGACTTAAACTTTTTTTTAAGAAGAAAAAAAATAACATTTTCTATATTTTTTGGCATTTTCACACTTGTAGCTGGGGCTGTAACTAACAATTATTTTCATTATTGATTAATCTGCTGATTATTTCCCTATTAATCTTTCAATCTATATATAAAGTGTTTAAAAATAATGAAAGATGCCATTTACATTTTCAGAGTCCACAGTGACATCTTCACTTTGTTTGTTTTGTCCAAAATTAAAATAAAGACAATTCAATTTTCTGTCATATGGCAAAGAAAATCCAGATATTAGAATATAATATATAAGAGAATATTTGACATTTTTGCTTGAAAAAAACAACTGAAACCATTAATCATCAAAATAGTTTCAGATTACTTTTCTTTCAATCGACTCTCATGACTCATTATTCAATGACTACTCACTGCAGCTCTACTTGAAACATTCAATGTTTTTCCCAGAGGCCGACAGTTCATGCTGTAGTTCAGTTGGCTGAATTGTGCAGAATTGTTCCAGTGTAAATCCAAATGTATCACAGTTAATTTAAAGCTGCTCTGTGGATAAACAGCATAAAATAACTGTCAACGAATGAAAACGTATTAACAGTTTAAATTCAGCTGAGAATACCAGTGTAGATTTGCTGTGCTGAATAATTATTATGACATGGAATTAAAATGACATAATATCACCGCTGTGCTGCAGCACGCCCACTCCCACATGACTCAGCAGCGTTTGCTCAGGCCCACGATCGACCAGAGGAGCCTGAACGAGTCCAGCTGCCTGCAGCAGGAGTCCAAGAGCCTCAACAGAGCGGGAGAAATACGAAGGACCATCAGCGCCCAGCGGATACACTGGCCAGGTAAACGCATCTCCACACGCTTCTCGCTGTGATTTGACAGAAATCACCTCAATGCAGCAGCAAAATGCAGGTGAACTGTGTCTTTGGATGTGACTTTTTTTTTTTTTGTTGTTGGTTTTTTCTTGAGCTTTAACAGAGTATCACAATCTCCTGGGTTTTTCTCACCTGCACAATCAGTATTTTGCTGCTGTTTTCCCCTATTTGTTGCATGTTTTTTGTACAAAATCTATAAATAAAAAAATGTATTAAATGTTTTCGGCTCTATCTTCTAAAAACAAAACTGGCTTGTGATTAAAAATACCAAAATACGTTTTCCATTCATTTAAATTTTAAAGTGTGAGGAAATAGCACTTACCATTTTCCATCACATTCACCTACAACAAAGATTAATATAATTCCGCTTCAGTAATTAGTTTGCACCTTTTAATTCAGTCACACAGCTCTTATTATTACTGTTTTCTCTTGTTTAATAATAGAAGAGTTGTGGGAATCACAGATCACTGCAGAGTTTCCAGAGAGTAGCATTATTAAACACATAATTAAAAACAACTGAAAACTAAATGAACTTTTGCAGTGTTCTTGTTTTGTGTATATTTATGGTTAGATTTTCTTTGTTTTTTCCTCCATCAGTCAGCGGCTCTCCGGCCGTCAGGCAGGACAGCAGGAGCAGCTCCTACACCGACACCCGGTCCCGTCCCAGCATCCCGATCGTAAACCACGTCCCTAAAAGAGGCCTGCGCTGCGCCTACATGTCCCATGACCCCGCTGCCCTGCAAAGCCTGCTCGTCATCTCCACTCGAGCCCCGCTGGTCAGGAGGCCTGGCTTCTCCCACATAGTCCGAAACTCCTCCCGCAGGGCCCCCCAACACAGCAAAGGGCAGTGAGGAGCAGGGACCGCCGACCTCTGAAACCCCCAGCTAGGAGAGTCTAGAGCTGCTGCAGGCCGACGCTCTCACACTGAAGCTACTCCAGATATTTAAACCGATTTTAGACAAACAGGACCTGAGGAGAGCTGGAGGTAGAGAGGCCTTAAACTGTGATAACACACAAACACACTGTGCCTGTGATGAATGCCTCATGTTTATAGATAGATTTTATATCTGGACACCTGCAGTTAACGCTGCTCCGCCACTGCACAGTATCAACCCGCAGCTCTGCAGAAACTACATTATGACTTTCTACATTTTCTACCCACTGTGTGTTTTCACATATTTGTCATATTTTTGCTCTGCGGATGAATCATCTCAAACAAACCTCATCTTTAGTGCCAAAATAAAAGCACAGGCCTCATTTAACACATTATGGAACATGTGTGTGATTCATATCTGCACATTTCCTCAGAATCTATAAAGTCATTGATTATTGGGTTTTGATTTGAGATTAAATTTCTACAGTGAAATCAAATTAGCTTTGATTCATGACTATTAAAGCCTTACTAATTAATATTACGATTCAATTTGAAAATAAACATTTAAACTGAGGGATATTAGAAATAAAAGCCTGCTGCTTTTTATCTGAAGGGAATATGTTTGTGTTGTCAAGTATTAAAAATAACTTTATTTGCACTGGTGGTCAATAAAATAGATTTTTTTTTACCTGCGAAAAACGATTGCAGTGCAATTCTTTTTTTTATTTTTTTGATTCCTATTTATTATTTATGATTTTATATTAAAATATACATTTTAATTATTATTTTATCTTTATATCATTCATTTTTGCTGTAAAGTTGTTAATTGTTCGCACCTGTGTGTGTGGTTTCATCTCGACACTTTTCAGTTTGAGTTGAAGAGGCCATAAAGTTTTACAGCATCTCTGCGTCCGGTTTCTTTGTTTTGGTCTCAAACTGAAAACACAAAGAAACAAAAACTACTTTGCAGCTTTAAACTATGAGAGAGGAAATTCTCCACAACAATACAGCGTGGTGTGACCTGAGAGAAATGTCTACACGTTTAGTAAAGATTTTTTTCATATCGCAACAATTCAAAACTGTGCAGAAATATTAATGTTTTTATCGTTATATGTAAATTATTATCGTGCAAACGAAACAGTGTGTCATCACGTGTCCGGTCTATGAGACTTAAACTGATCGATTGATCTGAATCGAAAGAGATTTGATTAAATATATTTTATGAAGCATTAAAGGCCTCACTGCAGACGACAGATCAAGTTTTGCTTCTTTTTTTTCTTTTTTTTTAAATATATATGATTAAAATATTACAAAAACAGGACAGATGACAGACGTGTTTGGCTTTTCTGAAACCCACAGGCCTACAGAGAAAAATTAATACCCCTTTATTAGTCTGTTCCTTCATTAAATTAGATTTAGGAATGATAATACAGATATAAAAACATTGGCCTAATCGTTTATTGTATTTTAAACTCTTATTTCTATATTTATGGAACAAGAAAATGCGCATTTTAAGGAACAGACATTTGGAGTTTGTGACTCTTGGAGGACAGAAAACCAAAGCGCAGGGGGGAAAGTGTTGCGTTTGTGAAGCATCTCAGGAATTTATGGTTTTATTGCGTCTATAAATGTCGGAAATCCTCTTTGTGCCAAGTGAAAAAGACCAAACCAAAACGGAAATAGCCATAAGAACTAACAATGAGGAGAAATACGTTTTTTAAAGAATTAATTTCAGCCTGACTATAGGCTCCGCGTCGCTTTAAAACGGGAGTTTAATTTTGTCCTGATAATCTTCAGAGAGAAAAGTTCAGTTTAAAGTTTCTGTGACCTTAAATTCCCCCTGAGGACTGCAATCACGATTTCCATCTCTGGCCTGTATATGGTCAATCCCAAATTGATCTGCAGTCACTAGAGGAAATCGTCCATTCTGACAGATCCTAATAGGATTTAATGCAGAAAAAAAATCTTTTAGCCTGAAACCACGTTATTCAAGCACAAAAAAACTCAATCTTTGGCGTTTCACGTTTTGAGATTACGCGATTCCTTTGGCGCGTATTCAAAGTGAAACAAAATGACAAGACAAGGAACATAAACTTAAGGATTTAGAAGGTAAATATTATATCATTTAAATCCTGGATGATAGTTCTGTTGTGGTTACAGGACAATAAGAAGCTGTACAGACCTTTTGCGTCACCTACAAACCAGAGGCTGGACCAGAACCAAGTGCACCATCCAGTACAATGTCAACCTCACCAAAATCCTCCTACATTCCCACTTCCTAACACTTTCCCTCTCACGCAGCATCAAACTCAAACATCTCGGGGCCTTGGAGAAAATAAAGATGGCGATGGGAAAGCATGTCTTAAGCACAAAAACGGCTGCTGTTTATGAAAATTTACAACTTTGCCATGGAAGTTTACGACTCGCGGGGCTCCAGGATTGGTCGCTGCCGGTCATGTGGACAGCAGGAATGGGAACTTATTTCCCATGAGGTTATATTGCAGCTGCTGTTTTTCCACCGCTCATTCACTTAACACTAGTAACACAAGCTTTTTTCTTGGCTCTGTGTATATGCATTACGCGTGTGTCGTGTTGTTTTGTGAGACGCGTGCGTAATTTTCCAAAAAAAAAAAAATCCAAAAAAAACAATTGGGCGATGGAGCCTCTGCGCGATGATGCCTCGGCGTGTGCGCCATGTTAATGTGGCTGCACTTGTGCAGCTATATGTTCGTGAAAATGAGGGATCAGCACACCCCTGGATGATGATGATGATGGTGATGATGGTGGTGATGATGGTGGGATTACTTTCATGAAATCACTTGAACAAAGTGGGGAAAAAGAGACAAGAGAGGAAGCGAGAGGAGCTTGAGCAGGAGTGGCACCCACACTGGAAATGATGGATTATCAACAAAAGGTAAGGGCACCGTGTTTCTAATATAGCAGCGATTAACTGAGCACAAGTGCGCCGCTGCAGCTCTGTTGTGCCTGACCTGTCATTGTAGGGCCTGATGTTTATATTACTGGGAATGGGAAGATTAGTCTGCAAGAAATGGCAATTATCCAGTCCAAACCCTTTTTTTTTTTTTTCTTGCGTTGTGTGAGCGATTCACAACCAGTTGCTGCTCTGTCTGCGTTTAACCCCTGAGAGGCTGCAGCGCCGGAAACAAACCGCAGTGTCTGACCTGAAAAAAATGAGTGAAAACAGCCACATTTTGTCAGTTTGGTCAAACTGGATGTTATACAATGATGACTGGTTTCGGCTGCAGGCCAGACAGGCTTGACTTTGATGATGATGATGATGATGGTAATGATGATGGTGAGGCAAGGCCTATGCTACAGCTGTGACGCCTTTTTCTTAAAAATCACCAACATCTGTTTTTTTTCCTCTGCTAACAGGTTTTTATTCTATTCTATCTTATTTTAGATGATTTGATTTGGTCGTTTTATTCTGAAAAACGCGTCAGCAGTCTTTTAGGTTGAAACTGTGCGGCGCTGTCTGCTCCTCGAGCGCTTTCGCATCCGTTTTTCCACATTTTTTTATTATCTTTAAACAAATATTTGCTCCGAGTGTGGCTTTATATAAATATATGGAGCCAATAATCCATATATTAAACATTTTGTTGGATTTCCGGCGCATCTGTGGCGTTTGTGTGTCTAGTTCGACGCTGCAGTTTTTGTACAAGAACGTCATGTGACAGAAATACAGGAGATTTCTTTCTCATATTTCTGTCAGTACATATGTTGAATCAGTGTTTGTTTGCACCGTCCAGACTGGCCAGCTGTTGTCATGCAGCTGCAGATGTTGCGGCCTGGCTGAGAGGCGCCACCGTTCACATATTCAAGCCAAAAATGAAGATTTTATAATTCTAATGTTTAGATGTAAATGTTTTCGAAACAGATATTATCAAAATATTTTTTTTTTTACTTAAAGAGCTTCAGCGAAACTAAAGATGATATCAGAATTAATCATTTTTACTGAGGCACTATCATACAAATATTTATTTTTCTGTCTAATTCATCCAAAACACTGTAACAAAATGAACACCCTCGTTATTATTATTACAACACACTGCTTTATTTCCATATTTCAATTTACTTTTCATTCAATAAGGCAACTTCTCTTAAAGAGGAAAGCTAATTAAATAGACATTGTCTAAATGGAATTATAATGATCATAAATATTAATTATGACGTTTAATTTAGCAAATTTCATATTTTTTTGCGCGAAAATCCTGGAAAATTGTTTGATTAACTCCAAAAAGGGAGGGATTTAACTGCTCTAGATTTTGGGGTCATTAATAATAGGAAGCAGCTAATACTAACTGGTGCATAATGATAACCATAATAATGTATATAATACCACATAATATAGGCTAGCTACTAATATTAATATTAACATTTATTGATCTGCTTAATTATTGCTAAATACGGATATTGATAGATGAGTAACTCATGATTCAGGTAAATACTGAGACTTACATCATTTATACTTACACAGTTTTTTATTAAATGTGAAACTATGGTGTCCACTTGAAGGTGATGATGGTGATGACGATGATGATGATGATGTGTGTGTGTGTATGTGGAAGCGCGTGTCCTCCCTCCTGCTCTCCTGCACGTCTTCATGGACTGGATGGTGATGGCTGGAGATGGATCAGAGATCAGGACGAGCTCACACCTTTTATAAGAGTAAAAAAAAAAAAAAATCATCATTATTGACGCAGATCTGGACTGAATCAGACTTGGAGCAGGATCTGTGGCGGCTGCATTAAGAACACAGCGGTTTATTGTGTGTGTTTGTTAGTTACAGTCGATTATTTTAAAGTAGATGGAAGTGAAAGCTGGAGGCAGAGGAAGAAGCTCAGAGAGGATGATGATGTTTCCCAGTAATTTGTGCGTAAAAGGAAATAATGCGCAGAGTGTTTGGCGCGTCATTGCGATGTTTTTTTCCTTCCTCTTTCTTTTTTTTTTGCATTTGAATTTGCATGTGAGAGTGTGTTTGTGTGAGAGTGCGTTTGTGTGCAATATGAGACAGAGAGGAAGGAAGAGTTTGTGCACGCATGCTTGTTTAAGTGTGTCTGTTTCCCTGGACTGTATTTGCATAAAAGGAACTGATGTGTTCTTTCACACACACACACTTCATACATGTAGTGTGTTGGTTCTGTTCTCTCTTTTTTTGGGTGTATATGTATTTCTATGAGTCGCAGCATCTCTGTGAGTGTGTGCGTGAACGTGCGTAAAGACCGACAGACTCGAGCGCTTCATTTCGATTCACCGGGGACCCCTGCGCGCAACAAGAGCCCCCCATGGGTGCAATAGTGGAAGCACAGACGGCGGTGATTGGCCAGAGGTTGATCAGATGGTACACTTCCCCTCTGTATTCAGTGGCACCTCACAACCCCCCCTCTCAGCAAAAACCAAATCTCCGATAAAGTAATGGCAAAACCACTTGGACTATAAAAGACAACAAATCATATTCCTCCGGAGTATATACACCCCGTTGTCCACCCAATGAGTTCCTATTTTGTTAACTCAACTTTTCCCGTGTCTCTACCGGGAGGACAGGACTCTCTCCTGGGTCAGATACCGTTATATTCCTCGGGATACACCGATCCGTTAAGACACTACTCCAACGCGGCCACATATGGAGCAGCCAACATGCAGGAGAAGGTTTACCCGGCGTCCTACTACCAGCAGACGGGCGCGGCGGCCGCGGCCATCTACGGCCGGGCCGGCGGCGGAGCTGCCTGCGACTACAACCCGGTCGGGACTTTCTACAAGGACGCGGAGGGCTCGTGCGCTTTCTCGAGCCGCGAGGACCAGCCGCTGTTTGTCACTCAGGAGCATCAGCAGCGCAAAGCGGAGTGCCCGGAGCAGACTGTCAGTATGAGCAGCAGCATCGACGACAAGTCCTCCACTCTCATCTACCCGTGGATGCAGAGGATGAACGCCTGCTCCGCCGGTGAGTACGAACCTTTGACTCTGTTGTTGTCACGGTGCCCGGAGGTAAAAGAGCGCAGGAGTGCATGAAGTGAGCGTCCCGAGCCTCAGAGTTACCTGTCAGCTGCGGACAGCTTCAGACCCACTCTCACATTGAAACAGCTGAACATTTACAAAGAGCAAACTGCACGGAGTGATGATTAGAGGAAAGTAAGAGTTTGTGATTACACTGATTGCGCACAGATCTCCATGCGCCTTCAGGGCTTTGGCTACTACATCATCACATACATACACGACCACCGTGCACGCACACATGCACGCACGCACATACAGACTGGGCCTAGAGCTCTCAGCCTCTTGTCACATGGCATCTCCAGACTGGGCCTTTTTCAGAAATACAACAACACATTATATATAATAACTATTAAAAAAATCTTAATTTCACTATAAATGTCAAAAAAACAAAACATTATTTAGTTGAACTCTGACTCTGCATCTCTATTGTAGTGTTACAGAACAATATAGTGTTGTTATAAGAGAGAAAATACACCATGAGGTCACTTTTACGCACCACATTATTACCATTATGAGCTAGCCTACATTAATGGCATCATTTAGGAGAGTTTTTTTTAATTGAATATATGTAGAGATCATTATAATATCACTATAAGGCGTGCCATGAGCACAATAAAGAGATATATGATATTATAGAATATATGATTTAGAAAATGAATATAAGATAGAGAGAGAGCCATCCACAGATGTGTGCGTAACTATAAGAAGAGAGTTTTAAAGGATACATTTTAAAATATATATACAGTAAAGTACAGTTAGTGACTCTTATAATTTACTACTTTATGCACAGCTAAATATTATATCTGTATGTTATAAGTCTGTGATTTAGAGCTGCATTACACTGAATTACCACTTTATTGTATTTTTTCAGATACACCACTACAGATTTTGAGTGCAATTTCAGGTAGACTCTTCTCCTACACTTTGGAAATTCACACGAGACAAAACATTTAATTATTAACTGATGAATTAATTTCCTTGTTTCCAGGTCCATTTGGCAGCAGTGGCCGCAGGGGCCGACAGACCTACACCCGCTACCAGACTCTGGAGCTGGAGAAGGAGTTCCACTTTAACCGCTACCTGACCAGGAGGCGCCGGATAGAGATCTCCCACGCCCTGTGTCTGACGGAGAGACAGATCAAAATCTGGTTTCAGAACCGCAGGATGAAGTGGAAAAAGGAGAACAAACTCCTCAATCCCTCAAAGACGCCCGAGGAGGAGGAACAGGCAGAGAAGAAGAGCTAAAAGAAAAAAAAAAAAAAAAGAAAAAGAAAAAAAAAGGACACTGACAGAGAGGCATGTGTGTGTGTGTGCGCGCGTGTGTTTGTGTGCACACTCCCAGAATAAAAATGATGTATTATTTCTTTGTAGATAAAAGTGCTCCGAATCACATGTTAGAGACGTGTAGAGTGATAGACTTTGAGTATCTGCACGGTAACAGTGTCTGCATTAGGTTAAAATCAGGTCCTCCTCTGTTTGTCCTTGTGCTTGTGTCTTTATTTAGGGGACTATGCAAAAATCCGCCAAAATGTAAATAATTTTTAGTGTTTAGTTTTTGAAAATGTTGTTACCTCATTATCATAGGCCTACTGAGTTTTATTATTATTATTATTATTATTATTATTATTGTTTTCCTCATGACATTAAAAGAGGCTTCGTCCTTTACTGTACATCTTGTGCTGTAGTTGTTCTATAATAGTCTAGGCTTGTTGTTTACAGCTGTGCCATCAGCAGCTGAATTTGTACAGATGAGAAATGTTACATGTTATTTATTGTTGTTCACCATGTGTTCAATGCACATCTGGATATTGTGTGCAATATTTTGTTTAGGAAATTGTACATAGAAATAAAAGCTTTTTGATGTATATTGGAAACTCTTGTGGTGTCATTCATGCTCAAGACAAAAATCTCATTATTATGAATATTATGAATATTTTTTAAAAATTCGTACAGGGAGCTGTGCTGCTTCTAAAGTCACAATAAACCTATAAATTCACATAAAACCAGAGTAAAGATTTAAATAATTTCCTGTTTGACACTGTGCGCGTTAACCTGCCAACAGTGCGGCTGATAAGTCTCTGTTATGTGTTACCTGAGCCTTTTGTGGCCTATATTATCAGTGTGTTACATAAATGATGGATGGCTCCGGGGCCCTGACAGCGCGTCCCGGCGGAGCAGTACCACCTCTGTCCGGAAGATGGCGCTCTCTGCCCGCACGGCTCTCGGGGGCGCAGCGGGGAGGCACCATTGACTGGAGCCTAACGACCATTATTTCGTCATCATTTGTAACCATGGAGCATGAATTACCTCTTGAAGTCATCAGTGAGGATTTACGACTGGTCAACAAAGGCACGTGATTCCCGAACGCTCTCCCATATTTGGCCGCATACCTGGCAAAGTACAGTAGGGCTTCATTGCTTATAATTCATGATTGCATCCATAAATCGTGCAAGCACACAGGATTATAGCGACAAAGATCTACAAATCGAGGCTTTAAAAATCCAAGCAAATGAGCTCTTACTTTGTAAACTCGTTCTCAGGGCGCTATCCAAATGGCTCCGACTATCAGTTACTAAATTATGGGACTAACGGCGCTGTGAGCGGCTCCTTCAGAGACCCTGGCACCATGCACTCCGGGTCTTTCGGCTACAACTACAATGGCATGGACCTAACCGTGAACCGCACCAACACCGGCAGCCACTTCGGTGCCGTGAGAGAGGATGCCCGGGGATTCGGGCCGGACGCCCGGTACAGACAGACACCCAACTGCTCGCTCTCGTCTCCAGATCCGGTGCCGCCGTCGTGCGCCTCGGCCAGCCGGGAGCCGCTGGAACTAAAAAGCCCCTCTCCCCAGTCTGACCGGGGCACGACCTCGAGCGGCAACACGCTCAACAAAAGCAACAGCGCTCATTTCACGGAGATAGAGGACGCCACCGTCGCCTCCGAGACCGAGGAAGGCGCGCACAGCAGCGGCGGCTCCAGCACGGCGACTCGGGCGCAGCAAAAGCAGCAGCAGCAGCAGCAACAGCAGCAGCAGCAGCAGCAGCAGCAGCACCAGGAACCCAACGCCACCTCCTCTACTCCCACATCAAATGATTGCCAAACACCACAAATATTCCCCTGGATGCGGAAACTGCACATAAGCCATGGTATATTTACACATCTAATAATATTTAGTTTTGAAGGGTGTCACGCCGGCGGTGTCATAAATCTGTCAGGTGTTGCATGAGTGAGCAGTGCTGGTGTGGATGACTGGGGGGGAAGAAAGGCAGTGTTTGTAAAGTCTTTCTGGGACTGTTTGCTCTCGGTGGGGTCCAGGTTAACTGCCGCTGGAGCCTCACAGAGGATGGTTGGTGAAATGTGGATTTAGGCTCTTTTTTTTTTTTCTTTTTTTTTTTGGTCAAATGTGCTGGTGGTGAGAGCTGGAGATAAGAACAGGGCAGTGATACCCGTGTTGTTATGTGTCGTGTTGGTTGCATGCATGCTTCCTTACTGCATCAGCTCATTTCATGTTGTGACCCCTCCAAAAAAAAAATAAGTCCAGCAGCCAAAAACCTCCTCTACTCCTCTAACCCCCCCCACCCCCCCCACCCCCTTGTCTCTTCTCTTCTTCTTGTTGTTCAGTGCGGTTGCTAATTGTCTGGATTTTCTGTAAAATTGTAGATATGACTGGACCTGATGGGAAAAGGGCCCGAACTGCGTACACCCGCTACCAGACGCTAGAGCTGGAGAAAGAGTTTCACTTCAATAGGTACCTAACCAGACGGCGGAGGATAGAGATAGCCCACGCCCTGTGTCTTTCCGAAAGACAGATCAAAATCTGGTTTCAGAACCGCAGGATGAAGTGGAAGAAGGACAATAAACTGAAAAGCATGAGTCTTGTAACAGGAGGCAGCGCCTTCCACAACTGAATAACTTTTGGGGAGAGTAAAAATAATAATAATTAAAGAAAGAAAAAGAGGAAAAAAAAAGAGAAACAAAGAAAGAAAGAAAGAAATCCATGAGTACTGTAAAGCTATTGAAAGCGCAGCACCTTCCAGCATGCTATTGTGATAGAAAAAGAAGTATCCTGTGGTCTTAAAATGCCATTTTTAGTTTACTGTTGTTGTACTATGATAGCTTAGATGTCCTATTTGGAAAAAGAAGATGTAAATATTACTGGGGGTATTAACTGTCCATGCTCTTTGCTCTGTCTTTATCTCTCTTGAAGGTGTTTAAACTTGAGCTCTTTATTGTAACTTCTTGACGGTCTAACAGGAGTAAAATTCATTGTACAGTTACACACACTCTCACACACACACACACACACATACACACACACACACACACACACACACACATATACACACACACGATGAAAAAGAAAAGAAAAAAAAGTTTCCAAACCATATGCTGCTCTTCATTGAATGTAATGTTATTCCGGGGCCATTTAAAAAGCGCTTTAGTGTAACTTTTACTGCTATTTTTGATGGTTAATCTTGTGGCCAAAACCATAAACTTTCATAAACAAAGCCAATGTGTAGCTCTAGGATATTTTGTGCATCTATTATTATTATTATTGTTTAGAACTAATTATGAGCAATGCAAATGTATTCAACCTGTCAATGTGATAAATTTTTAGTGCAAAGGGTTATTCTGTGGATAGGCAGTGATGTAAGCTTTTTTCGCCAATAAGCTTTTTGTATTTGTAAGTGAACTCATAGCGCTTGGAAATAAAGTTTCTCTCAATTGCTTTGAACGTGTCTCGACTGTATTATCAATTAGGACAAATACAAATACAAGGCAGGGTCATATTTAGGGTTTTTTTTTGTGGAGCTGCGGAAAAAGTCCCGGTCTGCTTTGACCCGATCTAGATTCATTAATGATTAACCTGAAGGAATTGTTGAAATGTCGGATCAACAACAAGATTTTACACCAGTTTTTTTTTTTTTTTTTTGGGTGCTTTTTTTTTTTTTTTTTTTTTTTTTTTTTTTTTTAGCAGAGACAGAGTGAAAGAGAAGACTTTTTAAAACTTACCTCCTCTGACCTCTTTGCAGCGAGATGCGTGTTTGGCATGTGAGAAGTGTGTTGGTGATAAAATCCCCCTAAAAAAATATAAAAAAATAAGTAAATAAAGAGTGGCTTTGGCTTACAGGTATATAGGCAGTGGTGAAGTTGGTAAAAATCCCCCCTTACCAAAGATTGTATAGGCCTATATTACTTACAGACTGTGAAAAGTCACGTGAGGTCCATAAAGTTGGTTTTATGGTTTTGGGGAGTAGACAATGTACTATATAATTCACAACCTTGAATGAGAGTGACGGCTTAACTGCATGGATGGGACTGGAAAGGCTGGACTGGGGTTGGAAGTGGTGTCCAGTCATATTTAGTTGGTTTAAGCTGCTGGGAAAACTTGGAATAACTGTTTCCTTATAAAAAATATTCTGGCTGCTGAATTTTTATCTGAAAGTGTCAGTTTAAATATGAAGTTTTTTCATTTTATTGTGAGTATAAATTGTAGTTTTTAAAAAAAATGCTGCACACTCCTACAATTTGAGAGCAAAGACATTTTTACCTGCAGGAAAATCACAGATTATTTGCCTTTTTTAAAAATGTTTTCTTATCATGGAAATATTTAAATGTTTGGAAGTGGGTGTTCCCGGCCTCAGAAATAGGAAATAGCCACTGATCAGAATTTCTCGTGCTAGAAATAAAGAAACACACAAAGCGCTTAACAAAAACAAAATGTTTTGCAGAAATAAAACTCTACATCTCTCGGATTTAAGACTATTTCAGTGGCTTTATGGAGCTGCCATGAAACGAACTTGAGCAAGCTCCTAGAATGATTTATCCAGATCTGTCAAGTCACCGAGCGGCCAAAGGTGAAGTCTCGGACAAACTCAGAGCTGGACACAGGCTTCACTGCTTTTACATAAAGAAATCCCAGGCTCTCTATAGGCTATAGTGCATTGTCTACCGGCCACTGATAAAACATAATGATATTATCTTCAGGAAACTAAAAGGCAGCAGGCTGTATGAGACTTGTGTAATATTTTCCAAAGTCTCTCCAAACTCATTTCAGGTAAAAAAAAAAAAAAAAAAAGAAAAAAGAAAAAAGAAAAGAAAAGTTAAAACCAGTGGTGGGCTATATGGGTCCCAGACATTTTCCACATATTCATAACTATTAAGTGGCAATTTAACCAGCGTAATGAGTATTGCATATTGATAGGGGTAATCTGTACCCGGATCTCATGCATAATTCATGGCGGCGGGGATCATCGCTGGGTCAGTAGACGATATAGACTGCAGCCGCAGATGCGTCAGGAGGAAGCGCGCTGCTGCCAGACTTTGCACTGTCACCATCGACACTCAGGTCTGCAGGAGAGTCTGTGGTTTGCGCACGAAATGAGAAACTTATAGGATTTTATTGATAATATATATCAACTTCTAAAAGGGCTGTGCTTCTGGGAAAAATCACTGCAAACATGCTGCGTAAATTTAATAACAGAATTAAGCTCCACTTTGCTTTGCAACAGCTGTTTTAAAAGTTACGTTTGCAGAAAGTGGTGCAAGAATTACTGTAAATCATAGACGGTTGAAAAGCATCACAAAGCAACACAACCTCTATTTTTTAACCGCAAATGGTTTCTATTGTGAGAATAAAATCTAGTTAAACAATATTTCCTAAAGCAGCCACAGTTTCAGCTCAATTCATGTAAACACTTGTTGTATCAGTTCTAATATTGAATGTAAAGCAGGAAACTGTATTTATTTAACAGTTATAAGTAACGCGAGGAAAGGTTTATGTTAATAACCGTTTTAAACCCCTCCCATTTGATTTAATGCAGAGTGATTAATTTAATCATGATAAAATACATGGAACAAGTGTCACCTTGGACCAGTTGATCGTGTCATAGATGCTCAACATCTGGCAGGATGTGTGATTGTTCAGTTCGCTGCTGCTGCTGCTGCTGCTGCTGTGAGGTGTTTGTGATGCAGCTGTTCTGCCAGCAGAGGGCGCCTCAGACCGGTCCGCCTAATGATGGATGGTGTTTTTTTTTTTTTCTTCCCCCGCTCTCCCGGCTCGGGCTCTTATAATCGGGGGCACGCAGGTTAGAGAGCAGAGCGCAGAAAAACACCGTGTCACCACGAGCGTGTTTATGAGTTTATCTGTGGAGGTTTGCGCAGGCTGAGTGGCCGGAATGAACCTTTAATCCCTGACACTCTGAGCTGAGCTGCTCTCGTGCATTTCTGTGTTTTACTCCACCACATTCGTCTTTACAGCTAGATGCTTCTCAGATGAAGATTTTACATTGAAATAACATATGCTGAGCTTATAAAATACAACACATTGTCACATATTTAACCAATATTTCCCAAACTTTCTTTTTTTTTTTCTTCCCTGTGACTCCTTATAGAAAGCTCCTTCAGGTGTCAGGAGTTCAGGAGTTTTTATTATCAGTTCCAAAGACATAAACTTATGAGGTAAATTATATACTAACATCCATAAAATCAACAATTCTGTGTCAAAAATGAGTTTTTTTCTTTCATTGATCATCTCATGACCTCTCAGATTTATGTGGTGACCCTTATGAAAGAGACCGAACCCCTGTAAAACCACTGCACTAAACCTAACTGTATATAAAGAAGTTAAAACTAGCTCCACCAGCTCCAACAGTAAAATGATAAATCGGCATTAAATATCTAATAATGTCATATTTAATAATGCATAAGTCACGGGAAACATTTGACTGCAGAACAAGTTTTACTTTCGGTACTTTAAGTCGGCTATATCCAGCTGCTTGTAATGGAGTATTTTTACATTATAGTATTGCTACTTTCACTTAAGTATCTGAGTTCTTCCACCGCTGTGAGCATGAAGGTGAAACTCAGGTTATATGGTTAAATAATTCAAAATAAGTAAAAGACTCTGGTGCCAAGAAAGAGCAAAACCTCACACTTGGTGTATTGACTGTATCTGAAGCCTATGACAGTGACACAAACAGTGGAAGGCTATGACCCACGATGTGACATGAACATGTTGATGATTCCCCCGTGAACTATAACAGAAATAAACCCATAACAGAGCCATAACGTGATCATGTAGTTATCTGTCCAAACCACGGCTGGAATTCCGGATGAAAGTGTTTTTTTGGTTCAGCTTTCAACTAATGGCTTTATTAATGATTAATAAAATCATTAAGTAATACTTTATAGAGCCATAAAAAGAACTTTTGGGTTGCCATGGTTGTGAAAACTCCTTTGACTGGTAACACGAATTGACGGGGTTATTTCTGTGATATACTGACTTATTACCATTTATAACTGTAGAATTGATGATTAGAGCCATTTATTAATGACTTATTAACATTTATAACAGCTATTACTGACTTATTAACATTTATAATGGCAGACGTGATGGATTAAACCCCTTTGTTAATAACCTGTTAACATTTATAGCGACTATTAATGACTTATTAACATTCATAATGGCCGATTTAGTGGATTAAATGCCTTTATTAATGACTTAACATTTATAACAGCAGACTTAATGGCTTATTAGAAGAAAAAAAAATCTAATCTTTTTTTTTTATTTTTAAGTGCAATTGTACAAGTGTCCAGTGTCAGTTCACAAACAGCAGGATAAGATCACGTTTAAACGTCGTATCGAAGCTCTGCACTCTGAAATGTGAGTATGTTGTATCTGATATTTGGACGGATAGGCCTTTAATTAGATGGTTTAAGTAGCCGAATTGTAAAAGAGGCTGCAGCTTTTGTCCCCATGCTCGCAGGCTGACGACCTGTCATCTATATACACCCTGTAGATCCGAATTTGTGTAAAATTAGCAGCAGCCACAAATTCGCACCTTGGGGAGTATGTAGGCGATGACGCTTCACCTCGAAGGGAAGAAAACCTTCATTTAAAAGACAGAAAATAAAAATTGTTTTCTATATGTTTCCACTGAGGAAGCAAGTTCTGGAGACTTGGTACCCTGCTGTGTATTCTTTTATTATTTTCTAAGCTTAATAAAAATGTGCTGAAAGTTGAATGTATCTATTTCAGATGGGAGTTCTGAATGGAGTTTTCTCTCACAGAGCTCGGCAGAGTCAGTTTCTTTTCTTTTTTTGCTGCACATTGTTGGAGAATATGACATCTGTGAAAGTTGCAGGACAGGACCCCCTCAATGTGGTCATTGTTCAGCACATCATTTATCACGTCTTCTTTTCACCGCCACTGTCTGTGGTGGAGCGAGGAGGAGTTTGAGTTTGCAGAGGAAATGTGAGGAGAGGACCTGCACAAACAACTCCAACACACACTGACCAGAGAATCTGTCCTGATGAGAAGATGAGAGCGCAAAGAAAAGAAGTAAGTTTTACTGAAGATTGTTTTAATACTGTGTTGACAACAGAAGAGCAGAGGCAAAGTCAGTGTGAGAGTCTGGGTTTCATTTGAAGGAATAATGTAACAAAAAGTGCCATATTTAATATTTATAAGCAGCAGACATTTAATAAAGGGGTTATAACACACGATAATGTAGTTTAAAGTAGATATAAGGACATTTTAAGTGTTAATTAATGTTAAGAATTTGTCAGCAATTATAACGTCCTCCCATTAAGACATATTTAGCATTAATACAACTGTGTTTTCATTCATTATCTGATAAACACATGCATCTGCTTACATTATAGTGTGTTCCATACTATTTATTAATGTTTATATGCTGTTTATAAGAGCACTTACAGGCCTGACTTTCTCATTTAAAGCTAAATGTTTTCTTTGATGAGGAAAATTAACTTTTCTTTATGACTTGTGAAACTTTTTTTAATTTTTTAATTTTAACTATATATTTGTATTGAATACAAGCCTGTATTTATTTATTTGCTTTGCTTATGTTGTCTGTGGGAAATTAAGTTGCTGCCATTGTTGATTCAACTGTCTCCATATTGATTCAGAGCTATAAATCCTCCTCCTCTGGACACGTGGTTCCCGCAGCTAATTGACAAGAGAGGTTGCAGTGTGCTGCATTTGTCAGCAGGCCTGCACACTGAATGGAGGGGTGGTGGGCTTGTGGGGTGAGGAGGAGGAGGAGGAGGAGGAGGATGAAGAGGGGGGGTTGTGTGTGCATGTCCATCACAGATCAGACAGAAAGAGTGGAGAGTGATGGGACGTATAAAGTGCAGCTCAGGGATGTTGTTCCTATCTGAATGACAACTACAGTCCTAGGACACACACACACACACACACACACACACACACACACACACACACACACACACACACACACACACACACACAGTATTTACATGTAATTTATAATAGCACTATACAGGTGTGTGTCATTATAGATTAAGATAGGGTTTGATTTAATCCCAGCATATATAAAGTGGTTAGGGTTAGTAAATTGCTATATTAAAGTGACCAAAAATTATAATCTAATAATACATTACTCTGAAATGGGACATTCTGCATAATGAGTACTTGTATATTTTGATGCTTATATTTTTACCTAAGTTTTATTTTGTTTTCTCACTGATAAGCAGCAGCTGGATAAAATAATAGAAATACCTCTCCACTTCACCACAAACTGCAATCTCTAGTTGTTTAAGTTGTTGTCTCTCAGCTTAATAAAGTCCATTTATACTGGAAATTTCCTGAGCTTTATGCCATATCTCATGGCCTTCATCAGCATATGGAGTTAGCTCAGTTGTTGTTTGCTCCATGAAAAGTGCAGTGGTGGAGGAAGAACTCAGATTATTTACGTAAATTATGGCAGCAATAACACAGTGTAAAAACACTCTGTTAACAAGTAAAAGTCGTATATTAAAAATGCCACTTAGCCTAAGTAAAGTAAGTGAACTCAATGCACATGCAATATACATAGGCCATAAAACATTACAATGTGTAAGCAGCATTTAACTGTTGTAGTTCATTGAGGTGGAGCTAATTTTAAATCCTGTTGAGTAGTTTTATCTATAAAAAAATCATCACACTTAAAAATTAAGATCATATAGAAAACATGATTTAAAAGTTCAGTATTTAGTATGAATGTTTGAATGTGGCATAAAATGGGAATACTCAAGTAAAGTACGACTACCTCAAACTTGTACTGCAGTACCTGAGTAAATGTACTTGGTTATATTCAAACACTGTTCAAAGTCAAAAGTGAGTCCAGGTCCAGTAAATAAACTTTGTGCTAAGAGTTTTTTTGTTATTTCCTATTAATAATGAATCATAAAGCTTAAGTATAAATCAATAAATATGTCTCTACAACAGTTTCAATAAAATCTAAGAAGGCAACTGTCCTCTGATGATTACAGGGATGTTGCAGGTTTTGCAAAGTGTACCTAATAAACTGGAAAGTAGGTGTATATGCACATCTTTTGAAGCCAACAGAGGCATTTTAGAGACATTTTGCTGTACCTTTCTCTTTAAAAAAAAAAAAAAAAAAAAAAAAAAAAAAAAAGCGTGACAGTGATCAGCTTTCTCACCCTGCAGAATCTCAGTTTATATCACAGCTTTCAAAATAAGAGGCTTGTATATCTTAGATTTTTTTGGCACATCTGGGATATATTGACATTTTTGCCATCACACCACGGCTCAGAGATCAAAGGTATCCATTCCCATGAATTAAAGCCACTTTAGTTAAATATTACCTTCACGAGCTCAATCAAAGCAATCGAGCAAAAACGTGAAGATGAGTGATCAAAGCAAGCGCCAATCGATCCACTGCGGCATGTAAAACCAGATCTCGAACAGGCCTCATTACAGCCTCAACTTCTGCACGGAGACTTTTTTAATGGACGCTGCTGCTGACCACTGTCTGCCTCCCCCTTTATAGTGCTTTACAATGACTCCATCTGATCACTCATTTAAATTAGAACAGAAGAAAAAAAAAATCTCATTACATAAACAAGACGTAATGCACTTGGTATGTGAGTGTGTTAAAAAAACAAACAACCCAGACTAAATACTGATAGCTTTCTGTTGCCTGAGTAATTTATGACATCTCTGGCATCGGCCCTAAACTGGATGTTTGAATTTATGATTACAGCTCTGGACACGTTCCCAGCGCGGTTTAAACACAACAGAGCTGAGTTGTTGTGTTTCATGTTAACTGTGCAGAAAATGCTTCAGGGAGAAATGTTAAAAATAGAATCTTTTGGGGTCAGTATCAGTGATAGTGGGTGCGTGGGTGGGTGGGTGTGGGGGGGTACTTCTTAACAAACCATTTTCCTTATCTAAATCCACTTAAATAGGGGGAGTTCAGTGCCAAAATATTTCAGCTTTTCCCGCCCTCTGTTGAGTCACCTTAATGCTTTTGGATTTTCATTCTGGCTCTATATTGTTCATAAAGATGCTAGAGGCAAGTCCACATTTACCCCCCCCCCCCCCCCCACCCCTTCTAGTCTTTATAGCAGGGCTATTACCATATATGAAACTGAGCTTGCATGATCAGCAAGAGAGGGGTTTCTTTTTACACACACACACACACACACACACACACACACACACACACACACATGCACGAACACCCACACACACACGCACACACACACACACAGGCTGACATTGTGTGTAGAAATGCTATGCAAGGCGGTGTGAGCTGCGGAAACACTGTCCACTCTGCTCCCCCCCCCCGCCCCCCCCTCAAAGGCAGCCACATCACCACCACCATCACCATCATCTAACGCGAGAGAGCCGCTTCCTCTGCACGGATTATTCTAATCTGGAGGATTTTTTTTATTTATTTATTTTTTTACAAAAGGTGAGATTGTTTTTGTTTGTTGTTGTTTCAGTGCGGAATGACTGGAGGTAGGAAGGTAGGAAGGGAAGGGAGGAGGGAAGGTAAGGCAGCCCGGGCTGTTGTGCCGCGGACTGGGTTATGTGTCTTTATGATTTACGAGCCTGACTCCAGCCGCGGTTCAACCAGAGTTCATAAAGCTGCATGCCTCCAGACTTTATATTCTCCCTCTCACTCCTTAAAACTGCTGCTTAATAATTTTGTCCTGTTTAATATCGGAGGAAGAGAGAATTTAATTTCATTAAGATATTGCCTGAAAAGATGGGATTTCTTTTTTCCCCCTTTTTTTTTTCAAATCGCCTTTTTGCTTCAGTTCAGGGCATAAAAACAGCTGCAGAGCACAATGGACTTCTGTATTATTTTGTGTTTGATGGATGAGCTTTTCAGTACAATGTGATATAACATTTAATTTTTTTCCTCTTGAAAACGTTAGAGACAGGACTATCCATTTACTGAATAAAGGCTTTCATTTATTAACAGGCCTAATGTCATTTCAGGAAACACACTTCTGAAAATCATGTATTTACTTTTATATTTATATTAAATGCATTTTATTTTTATAGGCCTATTATATTTGGGATGTGTGTGTGTGTGTGTGTGTGTGTGTGTGTGTGTTGACTAATTAGTATCAGTTTGACTGCTGCTAGCCTATTAATGTGTTTTTAAAGAAATCTCGTTTTAAAAGATGGAATCATTAAAAAAAGGCATATCTGTTTTACTTGTGTCGTAACAAAAGAAAATGAGTAGTTAGTGAAACCGGCACTAAAGGGTAAATAATAATAATAATAATAAAATATATATATATATATTTTTACAAGATTATCCTGGAATTGGTATTTTTCATTTGGTCTATTTCCAGCAAACTCTTAATTTTCCGTTGCCTCTCTGGCCAGGAGAGGCTTGCTATTCATGTCAGCACACTATTGAGTTGATAAGATGGATCATGTCGTCTCCTCCCTGATTCTGTCTCCATTTTTTTTCTCTGGATCCTCTCAGGCCAGAAGCGCAGGGCTCTCTGGAAACCTGCCATGTGACATTTGGCTGCCAGCGCTCCGTCAGAAGGTCAAAGGGGCCCCGGTGCACATTTCATGGAAATGCAGAAAAGCAACGCTGCGCACAACATCCAGCACCACCAGCACCACGACTTCTTCGGCGAGTCTGTGCATGATGTCAGCAGCATTCTTCATCAACAACATCATCATCATCATCATCATCACCATGAAGCAGCCGCAGAACAGCAACTGGCGCAAGTGGAGACGTTAGAGCGCACGTGTCCCCGGAGGTCAAAACAGCAAAACCCCAAGTTCTCCATGAGCAAAAAGATTTTCCCCTGGATGAAAGAGTGCAGACACTCACATCAGAAACACGGCAGGAGAGTCTCAGGTTTGTATGACACGAAGAGTACTGTTTCCTAATGAGGCCCTTTTCATTTATGATGCCTTTAATGAGCAGTTAATTGAGGGAATTACTTTATATTTTAGCCTTTTCAGGTTCAAAAGGTCGCAGCTATTAACTAAGCTCAGCCAGGCGTGAGGCAGGAGGATAAATACACCTTGGCTCAGTTTTTAGTTCCACATTATGTTTGAGGAGGTCATTTAAAGTGAGTAAACAACAATATTTATTTGTATAGCACTTTCCAAAATAAAGCTGAAGTGCTTTATAGAAAAAAACAATTAAAATGACGGAAATAATAAGGAAGACTAAGTTTAAATCCAGAAATGTCAGTTTATAACATTTTTGGAGAAAACACAGATATGAATGTTTCTTTTTCTTTAATTTATGATAAGCCCTGACAATTATCTTCCAATTTAAATCAAGATAATTTATATGTTGTAGCACAGATACGTTTATTTTACAATCATGACATCCTTATCTTTGGAAACTCGATTTAGAAAAAAAAAAAAAAAATCAGTTTAAAGGGGAGCAAAATATCCAGTTCTGGCATCATTTTAGTGAAAGATAAATCAAAGTATCTAGACTTGGTCACCAGTGTTTAAATCCTTCTATTCCCAGACTCTCAGTCTTTATCACAGCAGAGTTTGGTCACATCACAACCTCTAACTTACATGTTAACACCCCTGTGTTGTCTCAATGAAGGCGTTGTCCTTTTCTTTCTCTCTCTCTCTCCGTGTTTTCCCCTTTGTCTCTCCTTTAGATGTTGTTGATTTATATTCCTGTTGTTTAGCCTAATTATTATTTATTTATTTAAGATTTATTTATAGTTTCCCTGATGCTCTTTTACTCATCGCACAGTTGACAGTTTAGTATAAATGGAACAAAATAACATGAAGAGAATGGAAGAGTAAACGAGGCAGAGAACAGTTACAGAAAACGACTGAGAATGGCCTTGAACTTAAAAAAAGAGGCACAAGTGTAAAAAAAATAAAAAGGAGTTAAAAAGAAGAAAAAAATAGAAATCTCCTATTTCCCGCCTCCACCCTGTGAGTTCTGCCTGCTCAACCTTTCTTTTTCTAACTGTTTGTCTGCACAGACATCAGCGTCAATGAGAAGTGTCCAAGCGCGACCCCGGCCACCAATAAGAGGACGCGCACCGCGTACACGAGTGCGCAACTAGTGGAGCTGGAGAAGGAGTTCCACTTCAGCCGCTACCTGTGCAGGCCGCGGCGGGTGGAGATGGCAAGCCTGCTCAACCTGCACGAGAGGCAGATCAAGATCTGGTTTCAGAACCGGAGGATGAAGCAGAAGAAGGACGAGAGAGTCCAGGGCCTCACCACCACCATCAACACCACCACCACCTCCTCCTCCTCGCCCCCGTCTTCCCCCTCCGCCCCGGGCAGCCCCACTCTGTCGAGCCTGGGTTATGTCCATCTGGGCGGGGATTACCAGCCGGCCTCTCCTCCGCTCAAGTCCCAACAACATCCGTCACAGCCGTCGTACGCGGCAGAATACTCCAAATATCCAGCTCCAGGCTTCACGCACGGTCCGCAGTTCGACGTGCACTACAACGCGCACAGCACCGCGCACACAGCAAACACAAATGTGGATGTGAACGGGTCATATTTCTCACAGAGCTGCGCTCCTCAGGACAGAATCATGCAAGCTCCAAAACTGACTCATCTGTAGCAGACAAGATGTTGATTTAACGAATTCCTCGAATCTCCACGATAAACTTTAATTTATGGACAAGATCTGTCTCAATGCATGAATTTTTATTATTTATTTATTGAACTAATAATCTAAATATTAGTCTCAAGTCCTATTTATTTGTATTTATACATATTTATTCTTATTGAGCATTTTATCTACTGTTGTGTTAACTTTTACGCATGCGCCTCACCCAGAAATGCTATAATCCAGCCCTGTGTGGCTTAAATTAAAATGTTCATGTTGTTATTTAGGCAACATAAATAAAAAGCAGTTTGCTGAGATTGCACGTCATCCTCTCCAGAGTAAACACCCATCCAACAGTGTTCAACAGAAGACTGTGATGCAGCTAAAACGTTTGGCAAAAGTGGAAAACCTCCAGTTTTTCGCGTGTGTTAAAGCCTCATTAGCACTTGAGGTCTATAGCTAGCATCACATTATCTCTTACTTAATTACAGCGCCCTTACGGATGACTGTAGGTTTTGGGAGATATTACATGTTAGTGTGAGTGTCGTTAAAGAAAGAAGCCAGGGGATAAAAAAAAGCGTCTATATGGTTCTGAAATGCGTCTTTGTTCTTTTATGGGCAGAGTGGGCCACACAAGCTGTCAATCTTTAAAAAGAGCTCATGATGGATCACTGAATTTCCCTCTCTCTCTCCACAACACTGTCTGATTCAGAGGAGTCCGTCTGCAGGATTCATGTTGTCTAAAGCCTGGAGAAATAGTTTGGTAATAAGCCAACACACACACACACACACACACACACACACACACTGACCAAACTTAGATTTAGATAAACACTTGAGCGAGATTTCATACATTTTTGTTTTTCACTGAGAATTAAGGGAACTGGGGGACAAATGACAAATAATAAAACAACAAATAGGCAATACATTTAAAGTCAAAACATTTGATTTAGAAATTAATATTTTGTATTATTGCTTGAAGTTTGGTCAAAAGAATAATTTTCCAGTCTGTGTAGTAACTTTTGATCATGTTAAATACAATAATAATAATAATAATAATAATAATGAATGATGTGTGCACTAATCTCTGGTCTATGGAAGCCAGTGTTATTATAATACGAAACACACATTATTATTATTATCATCATCATTATTATTATTATTATTATTATTATGTTAGACATAGATTGGAATTATTTTTTACTGTCATAAATTTGTCATTCTCAGCTCCTCTAACGCTGCAGCCTGAAAATGTGTCCTGATGTTTGTGTTCTTATCAGATGGATGAGCGAGTTTGATTGAAGCATTTGTCATGTAAATGCGAGCCGTTTGATGGACGAGCCTGCAGACTTGACAGAGTGCTGTTGGTCCCTTGCCATTGGCGTTTGACGGGTCACATGGTGTGTCAGGAAGGTGATATGAGAGTGGAAGGCAGTTTTACAGCTTTGACATACTACCTAGAAGGTTAGGGCACAAGGAGCACCGATTAATGACTGCTCAGTCTTGATCAGTTCTGAACAAACAAACAAAAAACCAAAAACCAAAAAAAAAAAAAAAAAAACCCTGCGAGGTCCAGGATGAACTCTTACTTAGATTACCCCGTGTGCAACCGGGGAGCAAATATCTTCAGTGCCAAGGCTGGATACCACAATTTAAACCACGGATACATGTCGTCCAACTCGTGCGCAACAAGTGATAGTTACGCACCGGACGGCCGCTTAGTTGCTGCAACTTCTGGGCCCCACCAGACTCCGAGCCTCCCTCTGCACCACCAGACACACGTCAACTTGGATCTGCAGTTTTCAACACCGGGGAACTCCATGTATGGGTCACCCCTGGACTACGGACACCACCAGTACGGCCTAGCCTCCGAGCAGGACCGGAACTTCATTCACGCGCAAGTTTCACCCCTTGGGACAAACATGGCCCCTTACACCGGGGATAGTTGTGGGCCTGGAGTTGCAGCGGGCGGCCAGTATCTGCATTTCGGCAACGGAGACCAGAGGCAGCAAGAGTATTCAGAGAGTGTTTACACAAGGTTACCGCCCCAGAATAAGGAGAAGGATTTGGAGCATGTGGAGGAAACTTCGAAAACATTCGACTGGATGAAAGTGAAGAGGAATCCTCCTAAAACAGGTTTGTTCATTCTCAGACTGACTAGAGATTTACAGATATGAAGTGTAGTTTAGAGTTCCCATGAGACCTCTGGAGGTAATATTGGCTCACGGTGCGTAAAAACACACTCCAGCTGATATAATTAAGACAAAGTGTTTAAATTCTTCTGAAACATTATTTGGCGATTAACGCTTTGTAGTTTTCCCTGTTCGTTCTCACATTTTTCATTCTCATCTAACCCCCATGCATTAGCTCCATGATTTCCATGTTTTTTTCCCCCCCCCTCCATCATCCACTCATCCATTTCTCCCCTCAGCGGTCCTGTCAGAGTTCGGGGTTCCGGGCCAGCACAACGTGATCCGCACCAACTTCACCACCAAGCAGCTGACCGAGCTGGAGAAGGAGTTCCACTTCAACAAATACCTGACGCGGGCACGGCGGGTGGAGGTCGCCGCCAGTCTGGAGCTCAACGAGACGCAGGTGAAGATCTGGTTCCAGAACCGCAGGATGAAGCAGAAGAAACGTGAGAAACTGGGCAGCGCTCTGGTCAGCAACACTCCCGCACCTGCGGAGAAACTCTCCGTTCCTGACACCTCTCCAAAGGCGAAGGGGAAAGACTGACGCAGAACGTGACTTTTTAAAAAAAAAAATAAAATTAAAAAAAAATAAAAAATATCTGTGACTGTGGGGCCTGAGCAGTTCTCCACATCGTTCCCTCATTCCACAAAAGAAACTGTGAAACATGCTTTTGGACTTGTGAAGTATAAACAGGGTATGTGCTTATAGGGCACTGATTTCTGAAACTGAATGCTGAGAAAGTTTTTAAAAAAAAAAAGTCTTTTCATCCATTCTTGTATTTTGTAACCTTCCTATCATAAGCCCACGCTGTGTTTTGTGTTGGAGCACTGAAGTACTCAGTGTCATTGTTTGCACTATTTATTTACAGGGTATTTTCCAACAATTGTTGAGATGATTTAGCTTAATAAAGTTTATAAAATGAAAATTAAAAAAAGTTGTATTTGCTGTGTATGTAAAAAAGAAAAAGAAAAGGAAATGTTGATACAGAATTTGCTCCCTTTCCTCTTCTTAAATTTATAGGTTTGAAATAAATCGTTCTCTTTTTATATATATTTACTCCCGTTAATAGTCTCACCAAAGTCTCCTTGCATAATGTGACAAGAGGAATCTTTCACAACACATGGGGTGGTTCCCAGTGACCTTTTCACCTCGAAATACCTCCAGGGGCTCTAAACATGACAACAAACTCCAGGGAGCCAGGTCTCACCCTTGGTTTGTTACCCAAATTCTGCTTGGATACAGCTGACACATGTCACAGAAATTCATTTGTATTTTACATGATTCAAGTTAAAAGCTTTCTGATAGAACGGCCACATTTGTACTTTTAAAACGAGCCAAGTTGATAATTCACCATCTCTTTGCTCATCCTGGCTTCACCTTTAGCCAAACGTTTGCCGGACCTGGCCACCATAGTTCCATCTGATGCTAAAGGGGCAGCAGTTTCAATATTTGCACTGGGTGTTGGGTTTGCGCACACACAGTTTCTGCCCCAGCAGCACTGGCCTGTTGGTGCCCTTCTTCCTAAAGCTGAGGTTCACACAGAGTTCAGGCACAAATGAATGCGGAGTCAATCTGTCAAGTCACCAGAGTGGCTCAGAGGAGTGAACTCCAGGCCTCTCATGCTTTAGACTTTTTTTCTTTTCTTTTTTTTTTTTTGCAGGTATTGCTTTTAATATTTAGACTTCATACGGTTATAAGCCATTTAGCCAGTGTTGTAGTTTGTGCGAACTTTAAATAGTTTTAGGCCTCTGGAAAACATGTTTCAAGGAAATGGAAATCAGCAATCATTTGAAATATATCTGCATGAGTATGCAGTTCTCTCACAACTATATTAAAAATTAATACACTTCCACGAATAGAAGTTACAGTTGAAATACCATACGGCCCATTACTGTAAATTAGAAAAGGGCTAAGAGGTTTGTTGTCATGCATTTCTTTACAAGCCCAAAGCTTCCCCCTTCAGATGAGTCACAAGGCCAAGGACTGGGGAGGCGACAATCGATATGGCGAATAGTGACAGATTCAACAACAAAAAAAGGGGACGGTGCAGAAAACAAGTGTGGGACTTCATTCCAGAGGTGTGATCCCTGCCATCTCTGTAGGTAATACCTCAGTGCTCCCAGTGGGCTCTCCATCTGGAGGTGTCAGAGTCTGTGCTGCAGCCAACACCACAGAGACAGATGTTCAGCCGGGGGAGAGGAGGAGGATGTTTTTCACCTTCGGATCAGCGCAGCCCTCTCTGCCTTCTGCTGGAAAATGTAGGGCAAGGAGAGAGGAGAGGAGCACAACACGGTTAATGAACACAAAAGGGGACGAGAGGGAAGATCCTACACAGGCACAAAAATAATCAAAAACCCTGCGGCACGAACACCTGACTGCACAATCATCAGGACTATTAATATACACAGCAGCCAGCTTCTTTCTCCCTCTGATATCTTCCACATCTTTACCCCCCCCACCCCCCCTGTCCCCCGCACTTTGTTTGAGGTCAACCCAGTGCTGTTTGTACCCCATGCTGTTTGCAGTTGTTGCAGGCTCTTTTACAAGTCTATTGCAAGGCTCACTTCCTTGGTTTTCTACCAGTTCCTCTGTCGCATGTCACTCTGCAGGGTCCCAGGGCTTCAAAGGAAAACTAGATACAGTATTCATGGGATAACGGGGGGTTGGTCATCTAAGAGACACCACAGAGGAGTCATTTTTATTGGCAGATATCAAACACAGCTACAGTATTTAGGTTAACACCATTTTTCTGTCACACACAGACACACTCTAGTATGTTGACAAGACGCAGAGATAAATGGAGCTGTGCAGGAGCATCTGATGATGAAATGTTAGAGAAATATTGACAATCTTCTATTATATTTATAAAGTGCAATATATCAGACTTTATTAAAGATAGAACAATTAAGTCCTTGACTTATTCCCGTCATTGTTCCTGATGTTTTTTACAGTCCACCGACCTTCATTAAGACCGAGACAGGCGTACAGCGTCTGACCAAAGAAATACTATACTGCAAACTAAGAACTAACAACTGGAATCACAAAAAGAGGACAGTTCATTAGAGCTGCAAGGATTAGACGACTAATTAATTAGTCAAATCGATAGAAAATTAATGAGAAGCAATTTTGATGATTCATTTTAAAGCAAAAAATGCCAAATAGTTGCTTCTTAAATGTGAAGATTTAATGCTTTTCTTTGTCAGACATGACAGCAAAGTGAGGATTTTAGGGATTTGGGCCGTTGGTCGGACAAAATAAGATACTTTAGGGCATTAACTTGGGATGTGGGAAATTATTAAAGCCATTATTCTGCAGACCCAACATCTATTGCATGTCTGTCCTCCCTGGAAGAGGGATTCCTGCTCTGGTGCTCTTTCTGAGGTTTCTTCCATTGTTTTCCCCATTAATGTTTCTTTTTTGGGAGTTTTTCCTTGTACAAATCACGGGGCATTTTATGGACAAGATGAATACTTGGCTGCAATCAAGGAGATAATCTGCAGATTAATCGATAATGAAAATAATGTTTAGCTGCAACCCAACTAACCATCATCCTAGAAAACAAAACCTAATGGTTGCAAGATATTGTTCAAGGTGCAAACGTGAATGGGTTAAAAGCTAAAACATACGACAGTGCATTAAGGTATCCATACATTCCATATTATTAATCATTTGAAGGAAAATTACACTTTTTTTTAAGCACTTCTAAAGAAGGTGACAAAGTGTTGGAGGTTAAAAGAAACAAAAGAAATCGTAAACAGTCACATATGTGGTTTTTATCCTGTAGATTTTTGCCAATGTTGAGAGACAGGTTCATCATTTTTCAAGCCAGGTGTGTCTGTGTGAACATTAAAACTGTGCTAAAATATATTCCAAAGTTGGTCTGAAGTGAAATGGCAGCTTCAGCAGTCTGAGGTAATCAAATCAACTGGGTTTCCTCCAAAATTAAAGTCTTTTTTAACACAAAATATATTCTTTCTTTCTTCTTTCTCCCCTGACAGTGTTTACTTGCTGAGCTGCGGTGGAGGGATAAGAGGGAATTTTGTAATAAAAATTCTGCATCTTTGGACGATATCCATGTGATTTGTCTAAATCTGTCCGCTGGAGCCTCTTATTAGCTTTAGTTAAACATTAGGATATGTTTTTACAGAAAACGAGGACTGTAGATTGTCTCCCTCATCACTTATAGTGGAAGTGACTGGAAGTTCATTATGAAAGGATCTTTTAACGGCCCCACTATGAACAAGAGGAATGATTACAGTGACCAAAAACTGATTCATTGCACACATGGGCACCTGAGTATTGTTTTTAAAGACAGACTTGAGAAATTGCAAATCTATTCTTTAATTTAATTTCCACAATTTGTCCGCTGTTATTGTTCAGTGAAGCCTTGATAAGAAATGCTGCCTAGTTATGAATGGCACTCTTTCTTCTTCCTTTGTTATGGCACTGAGGCTCTTTTTCTCTGTTTAGCCCAGCCTGGGAGATTCTTGACAACCATCCCCCATCCGAGTCAGGCTCTACTGGATCTGGAAGCGGCAGCCGACCTGAAGCCCCAGCCTCCTGGGTCCCCCTGCGACTGCATCCTTTCCCCACTCCATCAGCATAGTAACTGAGAGAGACAAGTGACTTGGCCAGGGTTAACGTCTTAATACTCCCCGGGATTGCCTCCAGGATCCAAATGGCTACCCCTAATAGTTTTCCTCCTCCGTGTGCCTGTCAGACCGCCATGACTATATGGCGTAAGAAAAACAAGACTAGCTGAGAGGCAGAGTAACGAAGCAGCACAATGAAATAATGAGGGGTGGTGAGGAAGAATAGAGCACCCATGAAAGGTTTGGTGTAAAGATGCAGGTCTGAAGCGATGCTCGCTGCCTAGACAATGATGTGCCCCTGCCTGCATACTTTGCATGGAGAGCCTGCACACTTGAAATTAAACCAGCTCCTTCCTTTGGAGCCCAGGAGGGGGAAACCAGAACTCAATCAGTGTCACGTCACATGGTTCAAAGCGGCCAATTCGATGCTGCCAGGAGGTTGAGAAATGCAAGGTGACAGTTCATTTTACCAGTGACAGTGTGTCGGTCTCGCTTGCTGGTTCCCCAGTCAATTCCCAGCGAGCAGTGAAGGTTGAGTGTTGCTGGAGACAGACAGCAGCGCCCCCCCCCGCCGCTGCCTCCTCCTCCTCCTCCTCCTCCTCTCCTCACCACCACCGCTCTCTCATCGACCCTGCTCTGCTTTGTATTCCAATTAACTGGACAGAGGGAGAGGCAGCAGTGTGCAGGATCACAAGCTCAGGCAGACACATTCTTCTGGCGTCCTTCCAGTCTCTCAATCCCACTACTATCAATAGTGCCGCACTTCCCTTTTCCCTTCCCTTTCCCTTCCTTTTCCTCTCTCCTCAGCTCATGACAAGGGCCAGTTGTTCCAGGGGGATAATTCATAGATTCTTCTTTAACTACTGCCCCTAGGGACAATGTCTTGGTAATGAAAAATAGGTCCCTCTCATACATTCATATATCACATGTAATAGAGGCATGCAATCACTCAGTCGAGTCAACGCGCTGCTAGCTGTAACTGCTATCCTTAACAGACACCTCAAATAATGCTGAATTAATATTTTGAAATGGCTCATATATCCTAACATAATACAATTTGAATGATTTTCTATTCAATGCTCTCAGGGCTAACATTGATTTGAGTACAAGCTGAGGTAACCCCCCCTTCTGGAGTCAGTCAATGTGAGGCTGAGTGAAGGTTGTAGATTTAGCGCAACACATTTGCTCTTCTGTCTTTTGTGTCCTCAATCTATCATCACTTTTTACCTCGCCGCCACCAAGGGCCCCCTACACTGATGTATGTTTGAGCAACGGGTGGGTTGAGAATACAATGATTCTGAGGAAATCTGAAAAGTAAACTACCTCTTTTTTTTTTTTTTTATCTCCTTGAGCAACACAAACATTTACAAACAGAGCCTTAACAATCAGGTCAAACACTTTTTTTTTTTTTTTTTTCTTTCTTCTCTTTTTTCCTCAAATCAAGGGTTTGAAGGTTTGAATTTGCTGCAACTTGTTTAAATTAAGGCACCAACTTGAGATATTTGCTAATGGAAACTGTGACAGCTGTTCTTACAGGGTGATTTATGCCAAAGGCTTAAAACAAATGGTAAATATAATCTGCAACCTGAGCCTCTCTTATTCTCTTAGGATTTTTACAGAAATTTGGAAATTAAAAACTAACTTTGACCAAAAACACTTCCTTTTCTAAAACAAAGGTAAAGACAAATAAAGCCTGAAAAACAGGAAGACATGCATCGGTGCTTCACTATTTGTCCTTCTGCACTGTGAGAGTCCCTGCATATCTTGAGAATGCAATGTGCTCTGTGTGTGTGTGTGTGTGTTTGTGTGTGTGTGTGTGTGTGTAGGACAGGATACACACACTCAAACACACACCCTCCACGCCCTGAGGATCCTCCTGACTCTCTCTCCTGGCTCTATCAGATCAGAGAGACCCGCTGTCCCTCCCCACACCGCAATGCAAATGAAAAGGAATGCGCTGATAAAAGGCCAGATCCTAGAGATGAGAGGGGCAGAAGTAGGACAGAAGCAGCGAATACTAAAGGGGGGGGGGGGCCTCTTGGGGAGATGAGAGGTGGCAGAGGAGTCAGTGTTGGTAGTAGTGGGAGATCATAGCCTTGCTCCCCCTCAGCGGCGTTTGATACAGGGCTTTTGTCGCTCTTTCACCGCTGCATTGTTGGGTGGTGTAATCCCCGTCGGATTACAAAAGGCTTCCCTTTTCATATGGGGCTGGCCCAGCAGGCAGGTGGCTGGGGCTCTGTGGAGCTGTCAAGGGGAGGGAACCTCTTTTCCAGGGGAGGGGACCCCAGTTCCTCTTACCTTCACAGGGGCTTTTTGCTGGGAGGCCAGTCAGGCGCAGGTCAATGTGGGGACAATTCTGACATGAGATTCAACTCGCCCTGACCCCGTGGCTTCCTGTAGAGAAGTGACAGGGAAGGAGACCATCATGAGACATGATAATGATTAAAATCTGATTGTTATGTTTTATTTTATTTTATAGTAAAAATCGCCAAATATTTTGGTAATCAGTGAATTTTTTAATCTTTTTTTTAAGCAAAAATGCCAAATATGTAATGGTTTCAGCTTCTCTTCTTCTTCTTTTTAGATTTTATGCTGTTGGTCAAAAAAACAAGACATTATCACTGTTTTCTGATGTTTTATAGACCAAACAATTAATCAAACATCAGTTCACACAAGAATCACACAATTTTTCATTGCAGCAACTAGAAAATATCTCAAGTTTCTTGTTTTCTGTTTTACATGTATTTGGAATATCGGAATAAAATCTATTTAAAAAAAAATTAAACCCTGTATGAAAATCGTAAATGCAACCAGCCTTTTATTTCATAACAATTTAGATATGGTTCAAAATGTTACATTTCTGTTAACATACTAAGGCCTGTCTGTGAAATGACAGTTAATGTGTGTGTGTCTGTGTGATGTTGCCTAGAATCATCTCATGAGCTTGAATACACATTGCATATTTTAACATGTCAGACAAATATAACGTAAGGCCAACACAGCTCCGATTGATATCTGGTGTATTCTGTTGATGTGAGCTGTGTCTGATTGAGCTTTGGTTACTTAATGGCTTTCCTTGTAGTGTTTCAGTAATCCAGGATCAATAAGGCGATAGAGAAGCCCACCACTATTTCTGTTAGTATTACTACATCTACCACTGCCTCCTCTACACATGTCAATTGTGTATATAAAAGCCCAGCCCAAGCCAAGGCTGTTCACCCTCTGCTGGTAATATAAACCGTTCATCCATGCCCTGTCAGATATAGTGAGGGACCAATTTAGTGATGCTGCATTCATGTGTTGTCAGAAATATCCTAATTACTTTTTCAGCTTAAATCAAAGACCCATCAAAGTGGTGAATAACCCAATTTAAACAGTAAAAGTGAGAATTTTTGATACCCAATTTAACAAGATGTGCGATTGAGGGTGAAGATAATGTTTAACCATATGAAAATCTGATTTAGTAATTGATGTATGTGCTTGATAAAACATAATTTATGATACTTATTTTCTTATCTTTAAACACAAGGCAGCTTTATATCACTAGATTTCAGTTCCCATTATGTTATTATTTCAAACGAAACATCACATTAAATGCACTACAACTTTGATTTACTGTATCACATCTTGAGTACTTGAAGGCAGCATCTGCACAAAATACTTAACATAACATAACTAGCTTTGCTGTAAAACCCAGGTAACATAACTCTAATTTACCATTTTACAACATCATTAACCGCGAGGGAGATTGTGAGTACTTGAACGCAGCGCCCACACAGAAGTTAAGCAGGCAAAAACGTAGCCAGTGCAAAATATGATAAAAACAGTTTAGTACACCAATTTCTATATTCATTGTAAAAGTTGTGGAAAAGCATAGTACGCGTACGATAAAAATAAAAACACATTAAAAATCGAATTTCTACCGTGTTTGTAAAAACATCAGTTGATCTCCGATTTACGATTTTACAACTTCATGAACCAAGAGGGAGATTGTGAGTGCTGACGCACAAGTTGTGGGAAAACATTAGCGGCATCTAGGTCAGTGTACAATCAAATAAAACCACTTTTAAAACGAATTTACTCAAGTATCAGGACGTTAGGTGGTAAATAGACGAACTTACTCAGAAATACTGTTGGTAGAGGAGAGATGTTGAACAACTAGCTAATTAAGCTAGCTAATTTACGGTCTCTAACTACAACAGCTCATGCTAAGTGGTTGACAGGTTCAGGTAAGCACAGCATTTACTTTCAGAAAAACTTAAAGAAACGTCGCGGAATAGGAAGTGGTAGAGATATTTACTAGAGAATAATGGCTTCAAGTCACTATATCTGGGCTAACGAACAGCCATGCTAACAGCTCTGCTCTCCCACCAACAGGTGGAGCGACGCCATGTTTTCCCTCTTCTTCTTTTGGTTTGTCTGGCGATTAGCAAACCATGGCCTCCATGTTTAAAGGTAAAGGACCGTTTTCACCAGGTGAGCCGATGACCAATGACGCAGGGATAATAAACAAAAAGGTGGGTAAAATATGACCTTAAGATAATTAGCAAACAAACAAAACAAAACCCATACTTTTCAGAAAAAGTACACATTTGTTATGTTGACATTAATCAATATGAGTGAAAATTTCAGGGCTTGTATTTGGGAAAATGTGTGTAAATTGCTTTGATTGAGTCTTTAGTGGAATAAACACTAAAGACTGTGTTGACAAATGATTACATGCTTGGAAAGCTAGATCCAACCCATAAACAGGATGTTATTTGTTTCACTACAAAACTAGGTCAGTACTTCACACACCATTCAATGGTGTTTTAGTCTTCCCAGTGGAGTTTACTGCTCAGTTTGACTAAATACTGCTTTCCACAGGATTTTCAGCTAAATAAATCCTGGTAAGGCTTTATTTTATGGTCCTTAAATTCAAATAGTCTCTTAAGAAATTTCCTAGAAATAACCATATAATTTGGTACTAGTTATAGGTAAAGTGATCATTTGGTGTACTTCCAGTTATTTCGAAATGCTAAGTTAGCACAACCTTGAGACATTTATTCAGAGGACAGCGAGTGAGCAAGTCAAATGTGTCTACAAACAAACATAATTCAGCATAAATGAAAAATAAAGTTTTCTGTAACAAATTAATAAAAATGGAGCAAGTGTTTCAAGTTGTTCATTTTGTGATTCACCACAAACACTTGCATGTATTTAAAATTTGTTTGTTTTTTTTGCTTCCACAAACATTGTGACACTTGATTAAAGGGGTCCGTTTTTCTAGACTCCAGAGCTGCTAAAAGTAGCCAGTGTGCAGGATCACAGCCCCCACACAAGCCTGCTTTGTGGCATTGTTATTATGTACAGAAGGGATTTTCTCGGTGTCAGTCAAATCTTGTCACTAGCCTCGTCTAAGAAACCAGGGTGCAGAGGAAGTTGTCATCTGTGCACCTGCTCCACCCCATTTTGTGCAAATCTAGATGCATGCACGGAAGTTGGGTTTCAGAGCAAAAGGACACAGGTGGCTAGATGTTGTGGCAGTGTGTGTGTGTGTATGAGTTTGTATGACAGGCCTTTGTTTCTGTCATGGAGCTGTAACAGTATGACAGAGGTTAGGTGTGTATAGGCTGCCCTGTGGTATAAAAAGCAAAGTGTGACGGAGCAGAAAAAGTTTGAAAAGTCAGCCAACCAAAGTGTCTCGAGTTGGACAGGTGAAAGTCAGGGATGGGGACAATCCCGAACGACATTAGAAGACTTTTGGACGGTAATACGTTTATTTTTATTGTTATAATGCTTGTTTTAAACGGTACAGTTTTATCTTTAAATCCTTATGCAACTATGAAAATATTGTGTAAGCAGACATGCTTATCACAACAACATTAACTCTAAAATGTACAATTTTTTACTGTTTGTATTGTTTGGACTGTTACTTAAGTTGAACAAACAAAAGCAAACATTATAACCTTAAAAAACATCACATTTCTCTACCCTTGTAATAAACTGTAAATGGTGGCACCATGGTATTAGCTAGATTTGCATGAACTGCCGTGCCAGCAAACACGGCTTTTGAAAGAACATTTGCATACGTCAGTACATTTACGTGTTATGTGGGTGAGCACATAAAGAAATTGAATCAGATAAGTGATGAGGGCCAGCCTGTTTTGCCTACAGTATCATGAACATAGATTGGTAATGTTACTCTGACTTTAAAACCAGTTTATAGTTCAGCGCCACGATGAAAGAAAATGTTGATCGCAACTGCTTACGTTCTACTAATATGTGAAAAAGTAATGTCTTTGCATTTGTCCTTGAGAAGTCAAACTACACAGAGACAGAGAAGCATTGTGGTGGTAAAATTATAAGCAGCTTAGATATTTCAGTTGCCAGTTGCCAGAGTAGAAACAACCAACCAGTTAAAAACGGGCTAGGATCTTTGAAATACTATATTTTCATTAATTTGCATCAATGAGACTTAACTGTGAGTTTTCATTTGAATGATATGCACAGTACATTAAGCTATACTGTTTGTAGAGGGGAAGCACTGACCTGAGATCTGGATCAAGTCCAAAACCCTGTGGATTAACTTAAATCAAATATATGAACAAATTAGAATGGCTCTCAGTAGAGGGTACACCTCCACCAAGGCCAAAAAAGACATACCTTCAATTGTTAAGAAAAGTGATAAGAAAATTCCTGGATCTGCCCCTTTAACCAGATCTGCACCAAAATGTAATGGGGTCTTCTTTGGCCTATCCCCCATCCCTCCACCAAGTTTAGGGCAAATCAGTTCAGTACTTTTTGCGTAATCCTGCTGACAAGCTAACAAACCACATAACCTTGGTGGAGGTAATAAAACAAGATGTGATGAAAACTGCGAGGTTGTTGGAACACACTATATTGTACATGTGTTCATGTTGTTGTGTCCATCTCCTTTATAAGGATAAAATGGTCTCACAACTTGTTTCCAAGATAAAATAACTCACAGCAGTTCTCAAACTTTTCAGACATTTATTTTGGAACTTTATACTGAAAGGTCATATTATGTTGTTGCCATCAGAACTGGCAAATAAGACAGTGTGATGTGCAACACCGAAGTGTGATATTTTATCTAAGTAAATAATTCGAGGAGGTTTTGAGCTTTGTCTTCCACACTAAACTCGATCACATATTTGTGTGTCAGGAACAGTTTAAATGCTTCATGTCCTTTCTTTAGCTTGTGACCCTGTTACCTGAAAGTCCTTTTAAAAAAAAAAGCTCACCATGAATTCTATGCTTTCAATGTTTTCTCTTTCCTCAGACTGTGAGGTGTTTATAACAGACATCCTTCAAAATGAAGACCTCAGTGAGCTTGCTCAAGAGTCACGGAAAGTCTTACTGAATAACTTCAGGGTTGTCCATGGAAGGTACGATTTTTACCTCTAGAAGCAGCGTTTAAATTGTTGTTGAGTGAGAGACACGGAAAGCTGCTTTACTTGTAATTTCATGACACCATTATCTAACTTTTGCTTTTAATATCACACAAGAACCTTAATTGTTGCTGCAATTGCTTTAAACACAGTTTGCTAAATTACATTTGAAGGAACTCATTTAGTCTAATGGTGTCACCTTCAAGACTTCATTTCTTATTGCTATTAAAAGTTTAAAGCTCTCATAGAATAATCTTTTCTGATCAGGGTAATTTAATCCTAATCTTATTGTGATTTAATTTCCAAGCATGAGGACGAGTCTACGAACCCAAAGAACTGAAACTCTTGTATGAAGTGCACTAGTTTACTCCGGAAACGAACAGCTCCACTAGTGTTGCCTGCACTAGGTGATAAGAGAGTCATGCTCTTGTACAGAAAACCTGTGGTTTTGTGGCGTTCAGAACAGGAAACAATTACTAAATTTTAGAAACAACACTGGAGTTGAGTTGTCTGAAAAAATAAAAGCAAAGAGAAATTGAGTGCAACAGATTTTAATTTAAGCTTGTTTTGATTTTTACAGAAACCCTCAGGAGTTTCCCAACCCATGTAAGTAAACAATCTTTATCAAAGTACTTTATAAACACTGGCTGCACTCAGTTGTTTCTTTTGTGTGTTATGTGCGTAGATTACACTCTCTGGTTCATCATGCACTACTGAAAGTCCTTTTAAGTTTTTTTAAAAATTTTTTTCTACTTTACTCACTCACATTTGCGTTATCTCTGTTTCACACATATACACATCACACATATACACATTTTCACATACACAGACTCAGCGGATGAAGACGGTTCTGATGACAACCGCAGCTCCAGTCTGGGTCGCTCTGCCCCATCTGACGACGCCTCAGTAGCCTCTGACTACCAGGATGATGGAGGCCCTGAGTGTAAGTTAACAACAGTCCTGATTCTGATTCTGATTCTGTGTGTGTGTGTGTGTGTGTGTGTGTGTGTGTGTGTGTGTGAGAGAGAGAGAGAGAGATCTGTTTGCGCAGTGCACTTCTAAATGTGGGTGTCTCTGCATGGCAAAGCAGCACTAATGGATTTTTCTTCACAACATTAGTTGGGGAAAATAATTTTGAATTTGAGCAGCAGACATTGGCCCAGATTACATGTAACTTTCAGCTCATACCATCTAGTTTAACCAAGGACAATAGGGTGAACTTTTAACCCTAGTAATGACACATATATGCCTATTATTATCTTTGTGAACATGTGTTTCCACTGAATGGCTACAGTGTGCGGGGAATTCGGCATCGACAAAGTGAAAGGTAAAAAGGAGGAGTCAGTGTCACAAGAGACAATGTGGTGGTTCTCTAAGAGAACCAAACAAGTGCCGTTTTAACACTCGATCCTTAACATCCTCCCTGACACACCTACACTTCGCCACAGGAAGCGCAGGCAGACTTCTTTTTGCTGTATATTGTCTCTCACCTAATTAATTTGAGAAACTATACCACATCTGTGAAATTTCCCCTCTCCGCTGGCTTCCTACCTCTTGGCCTGACTCCGGTGACATCATTGACTCCTCCTCCCTCTCTTCTGCCTCCTAGCCAGTGTTCAGGTAGGCCATCCTGGCTGGAGAAAGGGGGCTGGTGGTTCACAAAGGCCTGAACGGTGACCTAGAGCTCCCTCCAGTGGCAGATCTTCTGCTCCTGGTCTGTATCCTTGAGCTGTATGTGTGGACTGTGGGAGGCATGGAAGCGGCCCACACAGAGAGGAGGCTTTGTAGCTGCAGGCTAATGCAGTGATTGATTGACCCCAAGCCCCTCTATTCTTTCACAACCGGGTTTGAAATACAACACTGTACCTGAGGGGCCATGTGGGCTCTATCCCTCTCTCCCTTTATCAATCTTTCTCTCTATCTTCCTTTCTCGGAGTTGCCCTCCCTCCCATTCAGACTTTGTATTTCTGACTCTATGCGCCAGCTAATAGCCCTTGACGTGACATGCTGCAGGTGGGCATTACTGAATCTGCCGCCTCAGGTGCCAATCTCTACCCTGCACTCTTTTTCAGCTCCTTTCCCAAGGTAAAGCCTGAATCATGTGGAATTTCCCAATCAGAAAAAAATAATATGGCACGGCAATCGCTTTGTGATACCGGTAGTTAATGCCAGCTGGATGTAGTCAAAAATGATCCCCTTATTTGGAAACGGCTTAATGAACTCTTCCGTCCTTTGCCCACAGAAGAGTAATTCCCGTCTTTCTCTGCAACTTTGGAAAAACAGAGTAAACAAATCACAGCAGATGGTGGGAACATAGACCACAAGACAACGATAATTTATTTTTTGAAATTGTTTATTTCAGAATAAACACGGCGAGATTTCCTCAGGGAAACAAACAAAATCAAACTATAAAATGCTTTAAAAATACCCCTTAAGGCTATAATGGTAACGGGCCCAACTACAAACTACGCCGTCTGTTACTGTGGAACACGATAGTTGTTAAAGCTCGAACATGGTGTCACACCATTGTCGATGTTAAATGTGAAAAATACCCAATTATGCAGCACCACGAGAATCTTCTTTCTCTTTCATTTGCATTTTTCTTTTATTATCACCAACTGGTGCCTCTTGACACTAAATAACTACACTTAAAAAATACACATTTTTTTTGTTGGATGAATAATCCTCAGATTTGATTCTGTTGGAGGAAAGTACACCTCGCAGCGCTGTGTCTTTTTATTGCTGGGGGACTGCAGCCGTGTTAGCGTAGTGAATGGCCTGTGTCCTCACTAAAAGGGCATGTGGAGTTCATAGTTCATTCTCTGTTCATTGCCAGTTGAAAGAAATGGCTCACACTTTTCTGCTGGGCGGTCTGTTTCAAGGGAAGAGGGAGTGTTTGTGGAAAATAATGGCGTGACCGCTTAATGAAATCAGTGTCTTTTTAAGAGGAAGAATCATCCGTGGTGACGATTTAAATTTTCTTTTATTCCTTTTAATGCAAAAATCAGCAGATAACCTTTTGTTGTGAAAATAAATTATGATTTTGTGATTTAGAGAAGAACGTTTGGCTGTAAGGAGAAGATAGAAAATTGAGTTTTTTCTCTTGAGTTTAATTGTATCATTTTATTTGAGCCTACTGTACACAATAGAGACTTTGTGACTCGGAGAATGTATTATCCGTGGTAATCGACTGCCTGCCTTTGCTGCTCTCTGTTCCCTAACCAGAGAGTGAGTGAGTGTGAAGTCGATGGCTGCTTTTACACGCAGGAGGAGCCTCTGCCGTTTGATTAGATGCGGTGGCCTGTTGTCTTCAGCGGACTGGGTGACACCAGATTTGTAATAGCTGACAGGAACAGATGGAGCCTCCATTGTTAGCCCGGGTGTCTGCATGGTAATGTGAACTGAGTTTCACCCGCCGACCGCACCGGTGACCTGACCGCGCCTGCAGCCTCACCCCAGCCTCGTCTGCTCCCTTTAGCAACCTCCACCTCTCTCTCCCTCTCTGTCTCTCTCTCCATCTCTGTGCTATTTGGGGCTCACACTCATTTTCACACCCACCGTCACACACACTCTTGGCCATTCCAGTACATTTTGCATACAAATACATGCACAAGAAAAACTTCTCCCTCTGGCGTACAAAATCTCTTTCACTCACACACACACACACGTGCACAGACACACACAAGTAGACCCCAGGAGACAGCTGGAGATGTGGGGCTTTTAGTCCTGTCATGCTGTTCACAGGTCAAGTTTACGAAGTCGAAATGGCCTGTTTGTTTTTCTTTGATTGGGGAGCACCGCTGGGCGCTCGGGGTTGTTTGCTGGGAAGCTGCAGCGATGACAGAGTGCTGCAGAAAGAGCTTTGTTTCAGGAGGCGTGCAAAAAGAAAAAAAAGAAAAAAAAAAGATGGCGCTTCTGAAACATCTTCCTCTTCCTACGATCCTGTGATCGTAATGATTCTGTGATGATGTACCATATAGGCTGTATTTGCTCAGGTGTGGATGTCGGCTCTAAAACTTAGATTCCGTGTGCATGTTATTTTCTCCCTTGTGTTTGGTGTTATTATATTATGCCACATGAAGTGTGATAATTATGGTAATAATAATAATAGCAATATAATTTACTTTCCAATTACACAAAGAAAAGCCGCATATTCTTGAAATTTAGAAAGCTTAAGGATTTCTTGTCATTTTTGCTTGAAAAATGAAATTGATGGTTTAGGTGACTAATATTTTCAGCTCTCTTTGTTGTCTTGGCCTTTTTAAAGAATTCAGGAATGTGACTCCTGTCAGTGATTACTGCGCTGGTCCAATTTCCTCAACCAATTACTGGCAATAGAATGCAGTAGGATAACCAATTTGAAGTTATGTCTCGCTGTTGCCGATTCCTCATTTGAATATGAGGAGCCAATGCACAGTAACAACATTATTACACGACGCTGGTAAATAGAATATTAAATCAAAATTCTTGTCATTTTGGCTGAAGCTTGATAAAGCTATATAAAATGAAGTGTTTTTGAGGGTGCATGCCCGGGTCTGTTGGCTGGTGAAATAGAAAAAAGCGATGCCAGCTGACGGATTGATGCCCCATTAGGGGGTAAATCAGCGATGTTTTAGGTGCCAACTGGCCCTTGACTGTGTTTGAAGTCAAATTAACTTGTGGAGAAAGACTTTAAATGAATGAGAGACACAGACAAAAATGTTGGAACATCGCTGAATGAATTTCATCGTGGCTTTTAAACGCAGCACCTGGACAGTATACTGGGGTCTGCACTGATGACCTCCTTGCAGGTTTGTTGGCTTGTGATCGTGCCGTCTCCCCACTTACTGAACTTTTGACTTTTGGCCTCTTGCCTGGCCAACCTGTGACCTCTCTGCACTCCGTCCAGAGTTGTGTGAATGATTGGCCTTCCTGTCACACAACACCCATCCGTCATGAAGTTTCTTTGGACCCGCTGATAGCCATCTACTGTATCTATCCGTCAGAATATCTGCCTGGAGATTAATTTTTCACCGCATTCATCGGTGTATGGATTTCATGACATTTGGATAGCGGCTGCTCGTTTGCAAGGAAGCGAGGAATATGTTAATGACCTCCACTCCTCCTCATTCTCCTTCGCTCTCCTTTCCTCTCCTCCCTCAGTTGCTGCCTGTGTGCTTTTCTAGAAAGACACACACACTCACATTACGAGGCAGGAGCAGGCTCTGTGCATCGCTGCGACTGCTCGCCATCAGGGTTCAAAAGTTCACACTATTCCCCTAGGGCTACTGTGCTGCTGCAGATGCTGATAGTCTTTTCTTTCTCTTCCTCTTTCTCTCTCTCTCTCTCTCTGTCTCTCTCTCTGTCTCTCCCTCTCCCTCTCTCTCTTTCTCGGGTGCCTTTCTCTCCCCCTTTCCCTCGCTGTTTACACTATTAATCTTGTACACTCTCTCTCACACACTCACTCACACTGCCTGGCAAGAAGAGAGCGGCTTGAAGGGGGGATTTGGACGTATTTAACCGAAGGGCATCCATCACTCTCATCTCTGGTTTCACCCCCACCAAAAGCCACACTGTGTAGTTTTTGCATCCTCCTGGTTCGTAAGCCCTCTGATGCAGCTCTTCTCTCGTTTGCTTTGTTTTATTGTTGCATTGCATATAATTACATCCCTCTGTTGCCTCTGGTGTAGCGTCATGTTGAAACCCAGGGAAAACAGGCGAAGGTAAATGTGCAGCAGTCCATCTGTAAAGAGGCACATAGGCAGAATGCAAAGTGGGAAGCCGGGGCAGGGTGGCTCCTAATCTCCCCCAGAGCTGTCAATGTCACAGACAAATAGCAAAACTATCAGATGCGGCGGGTTCACCCAGAGGTTAGCGTTCCCAGGTACCTCCTGCATTCACTCCCTCTCTTTCTCCCCCTGCCTTGCAAATGAGAATTTGATTTTGCCCTCCACTGGAATCCAT